GCGAAAATTTTCAGGAATTTTCGACCTGTATTATTCCTCGGGTAATCTTTCACGTTGGGCGGACGTTCCAACTTGGAGAGTTGACAGGCTCGTTGGTAGTAGAAGTGGTTCACCCTCCAATGATCCTCCTTCTCAAGGGCTGTATCAAATCCGGCGCTGCACAAAGTACAGGGAAATTCCTTCGGGTAATCGTCGTCGTCATCTTCATCGTCTTCCGGTGGTTGTGGAGCATAATCGCCCAGCTGGAGGTTGCGAAGAAGCTGGGAATAAAAGAGTTTTATTTTTTTAAAGCGAAGTAATAACAAAATTTTTGGTAGCAGATTTTAATTGGGTAAAATTAATATATCGTCACAATTTTGTTACCAAATGATTTATTTACGTAATTCATCAACGAATAGGACTCGATGACTCGTGACCAAAATCAGCACATTTTCAATGATTTCGCCGCCCTGGGAATTTGTTTTAAAATTCTGGACGACCTTCAAAAAACGTCAAAACCTAGAGTGTACATTTTTTTAATTGGCAACACCCTGCACTGCAAATTTGTGGTGCAGAATTTTAAAATAAATTCCCAGAGCCGAGAAATGATTAAAAATGTTGATTTTGATTTGACGATTTTGGCGATGCGTCATAAATCAAACGTGAAACTTAAATTCGATTTTTGAATCGAATTTTGTCACAATATGAAATTTTGAATTTCCAATAAATAATTCTGTAATAATTAAATAAATCAAGCGACCAATTAACATATTTTTTACTCCGCCCTTTTGAAACTCACCTGTTTAACTTTATCCTTGAAAATGGCAGCCTCCTCTCTTCTTCGGATTTCTTCCACCGTCAAGACTTCAATCTCGATGTCTTCGCTGTCATAATCATAATGCAACGGAACGTTTTCCTCACTGCTGTCGCCATCAGAATAAGTCGAACTAGTATCGGCGGCGTCGCTGTCATCCGTGTCATTCGGCGTGACGGACGTAGACGAAGAGGAGACGCTACTAGTGGATAAATCGGCCAAAATCGCTGCACCAGCAGGAATGCCCATGTCGACGTCGACATTTCCCTGTAACCAAAAAATAGAGGGCCAAATTATACAAAAATGTCGCCGTCAAAAAACCATTTTCCCACTTTTTTTTACCATTTCCTCCGTGTCGCCTTGTTCTTCATTGAAAAACGAGCTGTCATCCGCGTCATTCAGCGAGGACGACGACGAGACGATGTTAGTCGCGTAGATGGGTGGCGACAAAATCTCTGCGCCAGCTGGAATGCCCATGTCGACGTCGCCATTCCCCCGCAACTAAAAAATAGAGGAGAAAATTACAAAAAAAAAATTCGTCATAAAAAAAATTGCTCTTCTATTTTCTTACCATTTCCTCCGTCTCGTTGTAAAACGAGAGTCCCTCAACCGGACTAATGACAACTTCCAACTGGATAGGAACAGCTTCCGGTGAATACACGGCATCCGGCAGGACATCATTTCCAACTTGTTGGGCAAACCTGATCCCCTTTCTCAAGAGAATCTCGTCGTATTCTTCTTCCTCGTCGGAAGAGATCGTCTTCATCGTCTCAGTTTTGACCTTCACCTTATCATCGTCATCAAAGAGAGTCGTCACTGTTTCAACTTTCTCCTTATCATCGTCAATGAGCATCGTCTTCATCTCGTCACTTTCGACTTTCTTCTCCTTCCCATCGTCAAAGAGCGATTCGTGCCCTCGTTTCTTATGCCGGGCGACATGTTTCCAGAGGATCTTCTTATCTCCAAAGGATTCCAAACAGTAGCGACACATCTTGGCCAGATCGGAGTCGATGTCAGCGTCGACGTCGACCTTAACGGTATCCTCTTCGTCGTCCCCCATTTCCTCATCCTCCTCCTCCACTTCTTCTTCTTCTCCATTGTCTGGACTGTCTGGCGGAAGGAAATTTTTAAAGATGTGATAATCCGGTGGGGGTGGGTTATCTTGGACGATATCGCTAAACAAGGTGGTGGTGGTCTCCTCTTCTTCTAGGTCGACGTATTGCTCACGCATATTTATATTTCCCAGAAGGGGGACCCATTTCCGGTGATCGGGCGCATTGGAGCGACGGAAGTGTCGAACTAGGTTGTAGTACGTGCCGAACACAAACTTATCGCCGGAGAGGGAACAGATTGGGCATTTGATTTTGTCGCGGGGGGGAGGTGGTTTGCCGGTGGAGGCGAAAAGTGGGGCCAATTTTTGTAAATTGATTTCATCTGCGGTCAGACGACGACGTCGCGGTTGGCTGTCGACGTTCTGCCGACGGAGACGGGTTTTCTTGGTTTTCTTGACCTTTCTTGGCACCATGATAAGACGATTTTAAGTTAAAATTAAGTTAAAAGTTTGTAATTAACACGGCTACTCGCATTGTTGTCAATGTATTGTTGGAATGTTGTATTGTTGGAATTTGTAAATTCGTAAATTTACGAAAGAAAGAAGAAATAATTTGCAATATTTACATCCAAAAACGAAAACAGACTTCTGTCTGACTGATTGAACGATTTTGAAGGGTAATTTGAGCTTCCCGCGGGTTGGGGTATGTTGCAACCGTAATTTTGAAAATACAGCCCTACTCAAATTTCATCATTTTTTACGAAAAATAAAGCATAAATTGTAAAAATTTGGTCCAATTATTCAATTTAAATTAGGTTTACGTTAATGAGCATAAAAATTTTGTTAGTTTTTAGAACAATCGCTGAGAAACCTAGTTTTATATCGTGGGAAAAAACGTAGCTTTTCTAAATAACTCCCTTCCTCTGAAATTCACTGTTTTTCCCTGATTTTATCGTAATTAGTGATAAATATTTGGAAAAACCCGGTAAAAACTGAAAGATACCATACTTTTACGTAATAAAATGCTAAACTTGTAAATATTTGGGCAAAATTGCACAAGTAATTGAAGAAAAAGTTAATTTGTTTGGTGGGAAAAGTGAGATTTAGGGTAGAAGAATCATGAAATCCAACCTGATTTTCTAAGCTGAATGAAGTATTAAGATTATTCTGATTTCACGTCCTTACTGAATGATAACTTATCATTGATAAGTTATTTGGATAATGTTCGAGACGCATATGTACAACCAATTTTCATAAAATCCACGCTATGATTTACTTTTCAGTATCAATGAGTCTTTTCAATTGCGTTTAAAACGCAGAGAAAATAATTTTCAGAGTGGGACCGTTTAGTAAAAGTATATTTCGCGCAATAATTTTGCACAAAATTTGCAAATTTTATTTTTAACTTTTACTGAAAATCGTTTTCAGACTAGATCGTGGAGAGCGTCTAGTAAATAAAATAAAAGTAGTTCGAACAATAATTTTGCAAAAAACGTACGTAGTTTGTCCAAATTTTGTTTTCAACTTTGCTGAAATTGCCTTAATTTTTTGATGCTATTTGAATTATTAAATTGTTACAAAATTTCTCGTAAATTCAAACCTAAATACTCATATAATTTCCTTATCATTCTGAATCCATTTTATCTTAAATTTTGTAGAAATTGCCAGAATTTTTTTCGACACTATTAAATTTTTACATCGTTACACAATTTTTAGTAAATTGCCTCCTCCTTTAATCCAAACCTTACTTATGCATTATATAATTTCCTTATCCTTATGACTCCATGATAAGCCTCGCGGTTTATGTCACTCGTCACCGCTTTCCATCACCCTCTCGTTTACTTACATACACGTCTAAATAAAAAACGAAATGTAAACTTAGCCGTAAAATACCCACACACGACACAAGAACCCGGGTATTAGATGGATAGATATGTAAATATCCCTACTTTAAGCTAACCCTGCCCTTTCAAACCAAAGTAAGTGAGATGATTTGGATGATGACGATTATAAAAGACAGAGGAGAACAAGATCAAGACCAAGAATAAATGTGGACTTTTCTAAGATAAGACTCGGGCCTTACGGAGTTTTCTGTCTGTCCGTCCGCCAGTTGATGTAAAGCGGAAATTCAGATAGGCAAATCACGTAGTCTTTGGTAACTTTGTAAATCCACTCATCTTCTAGAATAATTTTACAACTTGTACAAAATAAAGAGACGCCCTTGATCTGAGCAAGTTTACAAAAATTTGGGAGCTAATTTCCCTCAAAATATATTTAAAATTTTGTAAAGTTTATGGAATTTACGAATTTTACATACGACTGTTTGAATTGTCTCTCCATTTTTACAACAATTTATAGAAATCAGTATGAACAGAGCATCTTTAAAATAATTAATGTATGAATTGGTGACACACGTTTTTGTGGCGTTTTTATCTTACAAATTTCAAATTTCGCATTTTTTCCTAGGGGAAATTTTATATCTCAAATTATAATTTTTAAAATATAATTCTTAGATTGTATAGTCAACTAGAAAAATTTTCACGGTTTCAACAATATTTTACATATTGTGAATCGCCTCTTTATAACTTCGGAAAGTTTACATAGTGGATAGGAAATAACTCAAATGTCTCTATGTTGTAAAGTTTTGAGTAAAACCTGTATAGCTTTGTAAAATTATGTTACACAATAAAGAGAGGTATTTGATCTGTGCACGTTTACAATATATGTAATGCTGATTTACAATAGATTAACAATTTTTTTCATAAGTTTCCAAAATTCGCATAGGTTTACGAAATTTGCACATTTTACGGGGTTTTACGTCCAAATTGTGTTGCTACATAAGTATCTTATCCGATTTACGTTACAGGTTTCCATACTGAAAAAAATGGCACCATTTGGTCGGAGCTGGAAGACCAGCGTGAATTGCCTCAGTATCAAAAATTTGAATACTAGAATTTGGTGTCTTTTCCCCCCAGCAAAAAAAATTGGGAACTTATCTTAACATTTTCAACTCAAATTTCAAATTCCCAAAAATTTCGAAATTCCAATTTAACCACTCCACCGACTCGGGCCAACCGAAGTTCCACCATTACGGACACAGTCTCTAACTTTCCGTCTCAAGATCACAGTTGAGTTTAGTTTCTGGTCTGGCTCCAAAGCGACGTCATGTCTCGTCCTTAGTCACAAAATGTGCGATACATCGTCACATAAAAATAAAATTGTCGTCTCCTCCATTTCTTGTCAACTGCCGAAGAATTGTATCCAACTTTTCCACGTCACTTGTCACCTTCCGGTTCTCGCTTGGCATAATCCGGATCCAGAGAAAACACGAGTCGTGTTTGTTCAGTTATAATTTCACCATCAAGTTATATTTAGTATAGTTTTTAGCCTCATGTTCGTTTAGTTAGGGGAAGAAATTTCAGAATTTGTCAAATGTGATTTTGGATTTTTATTGAAAATTTCGAAAGCCTGGTATAAACACCGGTAATAAGTTTTTTTTAATTTAATAAATATATAATTTGATTTGGATAAAAGGGCACTTTGGGTTAGTGTGGACACAAAGCAGTGATGGACATTTTTCGAAAATATCGCCTTTCTTTAATAAAAAATATTTTTTTTTACTAAAAGTTATTTTTGTTGTGAATTACAAATTTGGAAAACCACGATTCGTGTTCAGTTTAATTTCGACATCTAGTTATATTTAGTATAGTTTTTAACTTCATGTTCGAGTAGTTAAGAGAAAAATTTTCAGAGATTTTGAACATTTTTTTAAGAAAATTTTGAAAGTAATTTTGTCTAAAATAATTTTCAAATTTAAATTTCTGCCTGTTTGGTTTAAACACCGGTAATAAGTTTTTCTGCCTGTTTGGTTTAAACACCGGTAATAAGTTTTCGTAAAATGTAATAAATAGTATGTCCATCTTTCTCGGGTGTAGATACAAATTAATTTTTGATTTCTTTGATTTTGAATATCGCGTTTTTTAAGTTAAAAATTTAAAAAATTTGCGCCACAAGCGATAAGTCATTGTTGCTGTGAATTACAAATTTGGAAAATAATACGACTCGTGTTTTGCCATCGAAAGTAAAATGGTCTTAAATAATTTTCTGAAATCTATTTAGTCATTTTCGTCTAGTTTAAAAACGGGTTATAAGTTTTTTGAAAAATTTAATAAACTCTTGAATTTAAATTAGATAATATAATTGCTGCTCTAGCTAGTGTGGGATAATTTTGAAGAGTGAATTTTTATTGGAAAATATCGTATCTTTTTAGAACACTAAACACGAGTTATTGTGGATATTTTTTTGAAAATATCGCCTTTTTTAGAATAAATAAATGAGTTTATTACTACAACTTATGATTGTTTTGAACTACAAATTTAGAAAATACGACACGTGTTTTATTTAATTTTAAATTAAATTAACTTTAGTTTCATGTCACAGTTAAGCCAAAATTTTTAGAATTTATCAAATGTGATTTGAAAATATTTTTAGCAAATGTCAACATTAAAAATTTCCAGAAATAATTCTGTCTGTTTAAACGCCGGTAATAATGTTGTCATTAAAATTAATAAATTCAGCAACTTAAATTAGATGAAGCGATTGATTAACAGATTAATGAAGCGAAGATTGTTGTGCACACGAGACAATTGTGAAGAGTGGATTTTTCTAAGTAAAAATATCGTATTTATTTCAAAATAATCAATTTCAAAGTTACAATTTACAATACAAATTTGGAAAAATACGACTCGTATTCAGTTTAATTTCACAATAGTTTTTAACTTTATGCCGTACTTGAGCGAAATATTTCCAGAACTTATCAAATATGCTTTTAGATTTTTTAAAAGAAAATTTCAAAATAAATTTTGCTTTAAATAATTTTAAGAAATCAAAATTTTCTCATTTGTGTTTGTTTAAACGCCGGTAACAAGTTTTTGTGAAATTTATTAAATCTATAATTTGAATTAGATTTCGGGTTAGGGGCACAAGGCATTTGTGGATTTTTGTGTGAAATTATCGTATTTTTTTAAATACAAATATATTTTAATAATAATAATAATAGCCTTTATTATCCTCATTTACTAGTACTAGGGAATGCACAAAAATGAAATATATTTTAAGAAATACATTTTTTTCTGTCTGGCTTAAACACCGGTGATAAGTTTTTAAAAAATTTGTTATACCCTTTTGATCTTAAAAGGTCGTCTCGGACTAAGGAAATTTTTATTTTCATAAAATGAGGTGAAATAGTGGAAGAAATTTTTTTTTTCAAAATAATTATTTTTAATATATACCCAACCATTTTTTTTGTTGATGGAAAAACAACTCTGATTCGCTCAAAAAGTGTTCACACTAACGCGCAGATTTACTTATCCAATTCCACTTTTCTTGAACTAATTTCTGTGATATTTAGGGTTGGAAATCCACAAAATAAAAAAAAACAATATGTGAAAATTGTTCGACTAAAAGAAGAAGTTTTGTGGAGGAAGTCTGGTCTGGTCTGAATTGCAATGTGTTGTCCGACCTGTAAAGGAGCAGCTTATCTGGCCGTGTCCATTTTCGTGGTAAGAAAACAATTTGTCTAACAATTTATGGTCAGGTTGTACAATTTGTGAAACTTTGCAAAATTTTAGCAATTTTGTAAAATCTTGTAAAATTCAGTTAAATTCATGTGAATTACAAAATATGTATGTACAAATTCAGAGAAAAATGTGCTCATTGTAAGATTTAATTCTTCATTTTGAGTAAATCTTTAATTGAGTGTCGTTAAAAAGAGTTGTTTATGAGAAACTTTGGGATCACTTAAAAAATTCACAAATAAAAAAATACCATACCCTCTCAAATGTGTCTGAGTATTTGTCAAATTTTGGAAATTTTGTAAAATTTTTGCAATTTTGTAAAATATTGTCAAATTCAATTCAATTCACGTGAATTAAATACAAAATATGTACAAATTGTACAAGTGCATTCTGTGTTCATTGCAAGATTTAAATCTTCATTTTGAGTAAATCTTTAATCGAATTAGTATCGTTAAAAAGAGATGTTTCTTAGAAGCTTTGTGATTACTTAAAAAAAGTCACAAATTTAAAAAATGCCCTACATTCTCGAAAATGTATAGAAGGATCTGTCAAATTTTGTGAAGTTGTAAAATTTGCCCAATTTTGTGAAGTTGTAAAATTTGTAAAATTTTGCAATATTGTGGCAATTTTGTAAAATATTGTAAAACCTTGGCAAATTTTTCAGATTTTGTTAGATTTGAGTTTATAATAAATAGATCTCCAAACCAAGTGACATTCATAGCGTGCATTATTTTAAAAATTAAAAAAAGCACCACAATTTTTAGCTATTGGAAATTGCATATTTGACAACTTTATACCACGCCGGCTTTACATATTTCATACCAAACTTATGCAACTTTTCATCACTCTGCTTTCTAGAGAATTTGTTAAATATCCCATGAAACCACAATATTTATGTCAGATTTAAGCGACATAAATATGTATTTATGATGCTAAACTATGATTCGTCATTATATAATAACTAGATACATACACTACTTGCCCATGGGTTAATTGTACATATTTACTCCCATTATGGCGTGCCAATTGTTCGTACAAAACAAGTCGTCGCGTAATTTACAAAATTTCCTGTTATTTAACAAGTTTAATCGGAAAAAGATACAGATTTTACCTAACGAATCCGAATTATTTAGCAAAATTCAACACGGTCCAAAGTCGAGGCAGGCGAACCGAAATATTTTTTTATTAATTCCAGTGATATTTGACCAAATTTGGACGATTTTGAGACAAGAATCGAAATTAAATTTCCAATTGAAGACAAAATAACAGATTAATTAACGTATAAATTTTATTTTATGAATCAGAAACTACGAGAAATATTAATCTATAAATAAATATATTTCTAGTTTATTAACTTACCCCGCATTTAAATTTATGAGGCAAACCTTCGTAACTCCGTAAATCCTTCGTAAACTTACGAAGATCAGTTTACGAACCATTTTCGTAAGATTTTGTAACTTTTTTGAGCAAAAATTTCCTTCGAGATGTTTCCACAAGTTTCATCAAAAGTTCGTAAGTTTATGAGTTTAGGGGTCATCCATATACTACGTCATCAAAATTTTTCGATTTTATCACCCAGCCAGCCACCTACCCAACGTAAACATTAAGGGATAGGGAATTTTAACATGGGAAAGATAGGAAGACCTAAGCCACCCACCTACTAAAATTATGATGCAATATATGGACATTCCCTTACGGAGTTATGAGACGTGAATTGAATTGGATCTATGATATTTCTGAATCTCCTCCAATATGCTATAAGTTTTTCTATAGAATTCCTCCCACGAAACATCTAGACTAATTGTTAAGTTGTAATTTGTCTATAATTTTCACAATTGGCGTGTCAACTTTGCATGTAAGATAAATCACGTAACTTTTTTTGAAATGCATAAATTTATTAGCAGAAGGCGGCTATTTATGTATTATTCTCAACTTTATCATTTGGTAACGACCGAAGGTCAAATTTTGTGGGTGTCTTGCCTAACTCGCATAAGTCACTAAAATTTCAGTTTTAAAAAAAAAAAATATTTCTAGGTTTTTTGACATTTTTATATTTCAGCTATTATCTCAAAAATTCGTAAGTTTAGGGGGTTACCGAGTTACGAAGGTTGCAGTGAATCGATTTTATGTATTTATTTATTAAACGTCAGAACAGAAACGTTATGACATGTCCGAAATACTAGCACTTATTTTCATAGACAGGAAATTATAGATGCAAGTTTTTTTTCTAGATTTTAACCAGATTTTGAAAACTTAAAATTTCTAAATCTGTTTAAAATTAATAATTATTAATTTCCAGCGATTAAGGCCTAATTTATACTCGTCATTTTAGCGTCATTTTAATTTCACTTTCACGATCGACTCATTTTATACTTTTTCGGTTTCATTTTGCTTTCACGAAAAATTAACGCCATGCCAACAGCAAAATGATTGCAATTTATAGTTGCGTTCATTTCATTTTGCTTTCATTTTGGTTTCACTTTCACGCCGTTTTCCAAAGTTGAAAGTGTTTCAACTTTTGGGAAATGAAAACGGCGTTAATTTCTTTACAATCAACTGTAACTATGGTCGCACTATATCAGGCTGCATTGTAGGGTTTGTTTATACTTGTTACATCATGTATCCTAGGTTTTATTTTGTGACATATTAAATATTTTTATTTTATTTTGCTTTTCTGAACCGTAGTTTAGGGCAACAATTTAGATTCCTTCCAAATTCAGGATTTTAATTTTTAGTTGCTGTGAAAGCAAAATGAAATGATCGGAAAATTAATGTTTCATGAATTTCTGTGAAAAAGTATAAATTACAACGATGAAAATGACGCGAAAGCTATAGTGAAATTAAAAGTAAATGAAAATGAAATGACGAGTATAAACACGGGGTAATACGCGAAATTTATTAGATCAAAGGCTAAAACCATGTAATTGACGGTGACGAACTTTTCATCTAAATTGTATTAACGTATCGCAACAAAACAAAACTTCCTGTTTTGGAGCGTAAGTTAGTCAATTTATGTAAAATGTGAATCGCAAAAATTTATGAAACTTTCGTACAAAATTGACTCATAAAACCACTAATTTCTTTTGTGTACCTTTTTCTGCAAATTCGCTTAAAAAATTTGCAACAAAATTTGTCAAATTAAATTGATACCAAAAATTTATGTCCAAAAAATAAAAAATAAAATTGTTTAAATCGTGAAGACATATTTAGTTTTGTCAAATTTCCTGTCGTGATTATTTACTTATTTTGGTTATGGTTATTTCACAAATTTCTAAAAAAAATGCAAACAAAATTGTCAAGTTGAATGTCTGAAAATCAACAATGAATGTCAAAAAATACAAAAAATTGCTTAATTTCTCCTAATTTTTGTCTAATATCGTGCCATGATGTTTTATTTATTTGGTGAATGACTTGTCTACCAATTATCGCAAATTACTAAAAAATTTGTATAAAAACAAAATGTAGTAAATTTAATTGATGCCAAAAATTGATACCAAAACAAATTTTTTTTGTACTTAATTCCTCCCCATTTTTGTCTAGTATCGTGCCGTGATGGTGATAATAACAATGATATCGTCGTCGATAACGCGTCGAAAAAGCAGTTATCTTCCGCTCAGCGTTATGGAAGAACTTTTACTGCAGCTCATCTATTTCATCCCATTGTTCACGTCGAGTTGCTTTATCCTCATCGGATTAGAAAGTGTAAGTGGATTTATTTCATGGCTAAATAATCACGCAATTCACGCAGTCCTTGGTAACTTTGTAAAATTTGAAAATTTTGCAAAATACTTTTATAAACTTATGCAAAATAAAGAGACGCTTTGATCTGAGTAAGTTTTCAAACATTTAGTAGGTAATTTTCCTAAAAATATACAAAAAATCACGAATTGTCACCCGTACTAAACAATTTAGGGATTAATCAAATATTTACAATTTCTAAATCCTATTTACATATTTGATTGATGTATACTGGAAAGCTATAAAACTTCAAACCTGACTTTTTCTACTCTAATTTTGAATATTTTTTGCAATATTGTTGTTATTATCCCTTGGAATATCAATTTTTTTAAGAAAACACAAGAGTTTCTATCTAAAAACAAGTACTATCAGGGATCTGGAATAATTATTGCTTTATATATTTTTTTTAAATGTCTTCACGGCGTTACTCTTCCACAAGAAATGTTTACTTTCCTTTAATTTTTTGCCTGATTTGTATAGCGATTTACCTATTTGAAATAAAATGTAGATAGATGAACTCTTATAAAAGTTAACATTATATTTCTACCAATATTTGACAATTTATAACAATAAAAATCAACTCGTGCAGGTCTTAAGAAGTGTTTCGGGTGCAAGTAACCACCACTTGGCACGTGGTTGCACGTGGCACGTGCAACAAATGACGACGGGAAAATAGTTTTCTGCAGTTAGTTTCACCTGTAAGAAACTAATTCACGCCGCCATACTTCATACGGCGTGTGGCTAGATGGCGCACATTTCAATAGCACTTTCTTATTTTTCCCTGCAAGAATTGTAGCAAATCCGCAAGAAACGAAACACTGGACTTCAAAAACCATATCGAAAAATCTTAAAAAATTATTCCCCAAAAAAAACCTCCAAAATTTTTCTTACATTATTTATTAAATACATAATTATGTTTTCCTTAAATTTCCAGAATTCCTTCACCTACATGTTCTACTCCACGCTATCTCTCACATTTACCCTTTTCCTCCGCTACGTTGGCGAAATTTCGTACATTTACGCTCAAAATTGGGACGCCCTTAAGGACAAGTTACCCCAACTTTATCTCCATCTAGCGGTCGACACCTGCCTGATTTTCATACTTTTCCTCTACGCGAGAAACCGACTTCGCTGCAAAGAGCGGGATAAAGATCTTTTAAAAAATTCGAAGGATATTTATCACGAAGAAATGGGGGGCGAAACCTTGATTCATAACGACTTAAAGGAAAACCCGGGAGTGACAACGCCCCTTCTCGGACCGGGTAGTAATATCATAGCTCCGGCGAATTACAATAAAAATGTGAATGTTCCCGCGGAAAAGAGTGGAAATGGGGAAACAGGAGACAGTTTGACTTATTATCATTATCCCCCAATTCGAAGGATTGATTCGGCGCGGGGTAAAAAACCGTTGCCGCCGTTACCTCTAAAAGATGGCGGGGAGTTGGATGACGTTTCCTTAATTCCGCCCCCGGTTCCGTTAGCGGGACCGGATTCGGATGATGATGATGATTAAGGATAATTTCAAATTGTAATTTTTAGAGGAATTTGAATTTTGAAAAAAAAATGAATTTGAATTTGAAAATTTGAATTGAAAGATTTTCACACTGATTGTGTTTAAAATTTTAAACTTAATTATAAAATGAGTTTCAAGGTCCTGACTTGGTTTGTAATATGGAGAAACGTGTCCATACGAAATTGCGATTTGTAATTAAATTGGAATTAATATGTATAACTCCAATTAATTTAGGTATATGTAATTGAATAATTAATAAAACTTGTTATAAAATTAAGCCCCTCCCGAAAATGTAGTTAAATAAATAATTATAGTAAATTATGTATTCATACATAATTAAGAATCTTGGTCTGTTAAATGTGATTCATTAAAACTCTTATAATTAATTAAGCCACTTACTAAATATAAAGGAATGTTAATCTGTGTTATAAATATTGTATATGTGATAAAATTAAATAAATTCCCATCCGCACATGTTTGCAAATACCGTGCAAAAATCTCTTAAGTATGCGAATTACCTTCCAACCTGTCGCTAATTACATTAAAATCTCGCAAAATTGTATTTCCATTACCTCATTTTGCACAAATTTTAATACCAATCTCAATATAAGGTCGTCCCGTACATCTTATATGTCTCCGACTACCTACTAATTCCCTTAATATTCCACGATACCCGGGTATTCCCGATATATACATAAATAGTTATAAACATGACGTCAACGATTTACTCAATCATGCATCAATAAGTTTATGCAAAATCCATGCACAACTCAAAATTATGGCATCCCTACTTCGATCCTTTCTTTGTCTCCATTTTGCATGGATTTTTTTGCATGGATTTTTTTGCATGGATTTTTTTGCATGGATTTTTTTGCATGGATTTTTTTTTATTTATAACCTGACCAGGCATACATACAAACAACTCACCCACCCTGAAACCCGGGTACCGGGTATTTTCCATATATATACCTAAATATTTAAACATAACAGTAATAAATACATAATTTACCACATTTCCCAATTCCAAAATCCATGCAAAACTCAAAATCTAAGCGTCCCTACTTCCTTTCTTTGTCTCCCTTTAGCATGGATTATTTCTTATTTCAATCTCTGACTAATATACGAATTGTACGAAACAATTCCTCATAATACAAGATACCCGGGTATTTTCCAGATATATACCTAGATAGTCAAACATAACAGTAATAAATACATAATTTACCACATCAAAACCCATGTAAAACTCAAAATCTAGGCGTCCCTACTTCCTTTCTTTGTCTCCATTTAGCCTGATTTTTTCTTATTTCAATCTCTGACTAACATACATACGTACAATTCTTTATAATAAACCTGACTAAGCATACATACAACTCACTCACCCACTATGTATGTATGTATGATACCCGGGTATTTCCCCCACCAACCACTTCCCGAATAAACCCACCCGACCATCACACTCGGAACGCTGTCTACATTACATTTCCATAAAGTGGGACATGTAAGGATCGATCGGATCCGAGGAGATATACCTCCACTCGTGCTAAACTTGTGTGTTTTGTGTGCAAAATTTTGTGTTGTTGCATTTCTCCTTGTTTAATGCAAAAGTCAATATTTTCCTGTATTTCCGTCGCCACGAGAATACATAAAATTCGGGGAATAAGTATGTAACAAACTCCGTCGTCTCGTATATATTCCGTACGACTCAAAATACTCAAATATTTTTAATTCTCGGGGAGGAGGAATCTACTTTGTTTACTTGGTCGGATTATTCAAGTCAAGGATTTTCAGTCATTTGTTTTCTTGAGTGTTATTTTTATTTGCAAAAACAAAATTTGCGAAGCGTAATTTAGGTTAAAAAATAAAATTTGTGCAAAAATTCTTGTAAGAGGAGAAGATTTTGTCGTATTCAAGGCAAGGATTCGTAGTTATAATCTGACATTTTTTGTGGTTTATTTGCAAAACAAATTTTGCAAAATGCAATTTTAGTTAAAAATAAAATTTGTGCAAAAATTGCTGTAAGAGGAAGACTCCATTTTGGAAAAAAATGGACGTTTACGCTGGCGAAATTATTTTGTAGGTGGTTTTTGCGAAAACTGGAATTAAATGGTGTTATTACAGACAGACGTTTCGCCAATTTGAGGCGTTTTTAGTGTATTTTTTTAATATCTCGCGAATTTTAAATACGGAGAATTTAATGATGAATCTGACATAAAATACTCATTTAAGAAACGTAAAGAAAAAGGGGATATTAGAAATTTGAAGAAATAATACTCTGTACTTAATTAACAAACAGTGAGAGAAATTCGAAAATGTGTTACATAACCTTACGAGGACTTGTCTACTTTGGGGGAAGTATTCACGTGGTAAGCGAAAATTTGTTTAAAATTTCTGATCACACAAAAATTATAAAAATGTCCCAAAATATTTATAAAATCATGGAAAAAAATCGGGTCTTGTAAGTTCAATATGCACCACAATTATCCAATAAATTGAACTATATATACACGCAGAGGAAATTCATGTCATGCTTTGTAACTGTGTAAAGTGCAAAGATTTCTTAATTAAAAAAAAAATCACAATATTTTTAACAATTTGCGCTGAAGCTTTTGCCACATTTTTTATTCTGAGTTTCCAAAGTTGCCTCATTTAAAGGGTAGTGAAGTGAATTATTTTGTTATGAAAATTTTGAAGAAACAATTTTCTTAATGTCCGAGACGTTAAGTTTGCAAAATAATTAAACAAAATTTACGCAGTTTGCACCTTAAAGTATTAGCACCTTGAGTATTTAATACGAATAACTATTTAGAGTAGAAAAGCTCCCACAATCAGCAAATTTTTTTGTCCCGATACAGACTAAAATAAGGATGTGCACACTTATTTTATTAAAAAAATTATTGTGCAATAATTTTTTTGTAAAACAATAATGTCACATAGTTTCATAAAAAAAATCCCGCAAAAATGAAATTCTCTGGGTAATTTATTTTTAGCACATTTGTGGTCATTATTTTTTCGCTCAAAATGGGGAGAATTTTTTTAACTATGTGAAATTATAGTTGTTACACAAAAATTATTGCACCCTTATTTTAATCTGTATCGGAACAAAGTAAGTTGTTATTTTCAAAATTGACCATGGGCTTTTCCACTCTAGATATATTATTAAATATTCCAACGTTTGCACAATAATTACTCAAAACGACACAATTCTCCTTTCGTCCAAGGCGTCAAGTTTTTAAAATAATTAGACAAAATTTACGCAGTTTACAACACAATAATTTCTCAAAATTGTATAACTAAAACATGCCCATAGCTGTGTTTATACTTCACAACATCATCATTTCTACTCCCAATTCGATTTTTTGATAGATCGAAATTTTGAATTGTCTTTGTGATATTTTTGATTATTGTTATTGGTGATATTTTTGATTAGCCAAATTCTGAAAAACATCATTTAGTCCTGGCATCTTGAATTTAGTTTTTAATCTTCAAATTTCAAAAAATTTATTTATGGCGTATAAATTTGCAAAATTTAGTTTTTGCAATGTTTTTTCTTATTTTTAATGTTTTTTTTATTTGTGTGCGAAAAACAAACAAGACTAGTTAAGAACTTGATTAGATTCATTACGCCATCAATTAATTTGACAGAATATTAATGAATTGACTAACTACTTAATTAAGTTCGTAATTTTAATGAATTTCCGACAGTTAAATATTTATTCAGTAATATTTCATATTTCTAATTTGACTGTTTTTTATGACTTGTAGTATCACGGAGTCCAAATGTTGGTCAATATGTATTACGATCTTTTCTCCACCTCGGTATGTACATGATTAAAATTAATCCAATTTAATTTTATACGATTTCAGAAATTTTCAGAAGTTTTCATATATTTCATAATTTTGTAGGCATCGAAGGAAGTCACCGTCTCCCAGGTGGATATCGTGTTCAATTGTTGCTTCTTAACACTGGGAATTCTTATCTTTCGCGGTGTAGAACAGGTATTAGAACCATTTAAAAAATGTTATATAATGAGTTAATTAATTTCTCAAAATTATTCAAAATTTTCACGAAAATAAAAATACCTATATTTTTAAGGGATCCAAAACCTCGCATAAATAAATTACCTAATAACTTACTTAATTTCTCAAAATTTCCACTAAAATAAAAACCCTTCCATTTTTTTCAGGAATCCAAAACCTTCATAAAATGGCCCACCATCGGATTCACCCTCCTCCTCGCGTTTCGATTCATTGTCGAAATTGTCAAACAAGTCGAACGGGAACGTTCCGGGGTTGGCGGGCCTGTTCGAATGAAACCGCCCAACAATACAATCTCACCTTTCTCCTATTCCTCCATGTCGATCGATGTGGACCCGCTAATCTCGGCCGCCGTGGGAATCTACATCTTTATCTTGTTCGTTTACAACCACTCCCTCGAGTACCAACACCTCCAAGAAGAAGCCGAGGAGGAGGAGCAAAATCGAAGCGCGCGAAATAATACGCGCGCCAATAATTCAAATAATCCCGCGGGCGAAATCCCCTCATCCTGCGGGGGCAGTGACGCCTCCTCGGACACCGTACTGCTCATCAATACCACTGCTACGTCACACATTCAAAATTCCCGGATGCTGGCGGGAGATTCAAATAATAATAATAATAATACGATCGGCTTGGGCAGATTTGGCGGGACGATGAATAATAATAATAACACCGACATAATTATTAATACCCGGTCGAACCCGCTTTTTGAACTGGATGGCGTTCGCGTCGATGGAATGAGACGATTTCCTGGGCAGCATTTACCGAATTTGTTGCTTTTCCCGAATCCCACGAGGGTGCAGCAGCATCATCAAAGGAGGGATAATGACGACGCGGGTAGTATGAGTCCCGATACCCCGCCGGAATATAAGGTGGACGCTGTGTAAATTGAGGGCAGAGGTGGGCGCCGCCGATCGTGCGCCGCCCCCGCCGAAAAAATAAATTTGAGTTCTTATCCCTTCAACATTCGAACCCCCGCCGAAAAACTCACCAAAATTAGCCCCGCCGAAGATTGGTCGGCGTCAACCCCTGAATTATTGAATGGGCTAAATTATGAATGATCTCAAATCTAAATGATGCTGGATTAATGTACATACATTTAAATTTATGAAACTTCGTAAAATCAAGCGTAAAGAGGTTGTAAGTGTAATCGATTTTATGAAATTATGAAACATGGATTTTGAAATGAAATATTTATAAAATAATGTAACTACTTCGGCATAAATCTTAATCATTTCGGTTAAGATACTTATGTAATGACGCAATTTACTCGGGTGGGCGTAACCCCGTGAACACTGTAAATTTCGTAGACTTACAAGAATTGAGAAACTTGTGAAAAAACAATCAGCTTGCAAAATTAAACTCCTCTTTTTATTTTGTAAAATAATTTTACAAAGTTACACAGGTTTATATTTGAGTGATTTGCTTATTAAATTTATAAAGAGCCAATTCACAATATGTAAAATTAATATTGTTGAAAACGTGCAAATTTTTCTAGTTTACGGGCTCATCTACAAAATTCAAAATTTGTATTTCAAAAATTACAATTTTGGGTAAAAATTTTCCCCGGAAAAAAATCCGTTACAATTTGTAAGATAAACACGCCAAAATAATTTATAATTTACATTTCGTGGTTAATTGAATTTAAGATTGGTAATTCAAGCTGTATTTGATAATGTTAATTGATATAAAATAGATAGGCAATTCACGAAGGCCTTGGTAACTTTGTAAAATCCATACACTTACGAAGTTTTACAAACTTTACAAACCCAGTTTTTATTCAAGTCCTTATTTTTTATAATTATTTTACAAAATTTACCCATTTTACAAAGTTACAGCGTGAATATTGATAGGCAATTTGGCCCCTTTAAAACATCCGTCACAAAACTTACACAGTTTACAACGTTACAAACATCCGAGCAAATGCATCAATATGAATGTAAGTAAAAGTCATAGAATTATGATACCGTAAAATTTCCAAGTGTAATTCCCTACCCTAACCTTCGTGTGATTATTCGTAAACTATGTAATATCATTTTCGCCGGGCAATAATTGCAATTGTAAATTCTCATTACGCAATAACCTTACTTAATTGTAAAATATTCCTTCCGTGCGTATTCGTAATCTTCTAAACCATGCAAATAAGTTAGTAACAAAATTGTGACTATTTGCGGTAATAATTTTGTTACCAACTTATTTTAACCGTGTAAACCTTACGTTTAATCAACCTCGTGAATTCTCCGTTGTTCAAAGTGATCCTAGTCTGTAACGTGATTAGTTAATTAATTAATTAAGAAAGCAATAAGAAATAAGTAATGTTTCCTGTTTTTAAGATTTTTTCGAGAAATATAGGAAATTAAATTTTAGAGAAAGTTCATCAATTAAATATGTGACACCGTAATTTATGAATGTTTCCGAATAACGTAACGTAACATATTTAGAAGTAAGATTTGAAAAATGTGTACCGGGACCTTGTAATGAATTTTAGAAATTTGGATTAATTACACCAAAAAAGTCGTGTCTTTCAGTGATTTTGAACCTTGGCGAAAATACGACGGATGAAAAATATTTAAGTTTTCGTTTTTTTTTATCCAAAAAATCTTAACAGAATAAGAAATCATAATTAAGAAATCAATTAAGTTAAGAATTAATTTAAATAATTTTATTTAAAAGTAAGCAATTATTGCTTACATCGCACTTGAATTCCTCCCCTAAATTTTACCGGTAACAAAATTGTCACCGCGTAAGTAACGAATTTACTACGGAACGGTAACAACAATTTCGGTAGAATTTCAAATTGACACGCTCCCGTGAAAAATTCCAGAAGAAGATCTTTACAAATTTAACGGTATCAGAATTTATTACAATCGTTCATCGGTGGTAAATCATTACCAACACGGACGACTGTTAACTAAATATTAATTTATTACCAGCGATGTCAACTTTTTCTGTTTAAATTTAAACTTCCTCGACGGAATCAAAATTTGATAAAAAACTTAAACTAAAATTCAATACTCTAAAAAATTTTGCGGAAACTTTTCCGGGAATTTTTTAAGCCGAAAAATGATTAACGATTACGCAAAAATTAAACCCTAATTGTTCAAGATTTACATACATAAATGTCAAAATTTTACCCTAATTTAAATTAATCTTATCCGACATACGTATGTGTAACACCACTGCTTTCTTACCATTTTATAAAAATTCAAAATTGAATGGAATAAAATACTTGGAATAAAAAATGAAAAAAAGATTATAATTTTGTGTCTAATTTTTTTGGGGAATTTTAACCTTAAAATTGTGCTTGATGCAAATCATCATTGTTTATAATCAATGGTTTATAATCGCATTGATCTCATTTTTTTTGGCAAATTTGCATGATTTTTGGCACTGTCAAAGATTCAGTTAAAGTGCTCCGATATATTTTTGGCATTGATTCAGATCTTAGATTTGCCAGCGATTTAACCATTGGATTTGTGACAAAAAGTTGGAAAAAGGGTGTCGTTCTCGACTAATTTTGTGTGCAATGTGTTATTAATTATGCTGCAATTTTTAAGCAAATATGTTCCAGGTTAAAAATGTCTGCGAAAAATTCACCATATTTAAATTTGCAGTGGTTCTAGTTGGTGTAAAATTTTCAATAAAAAAATCTACAATAAAAAAGTCTACAATAAAAAAATTTACAATTCACCCTTAATACTCTATCTTTCACAAAGTAACTGTACACCTTTTAGCCATAATTTGTGACAAATATTTAATATGCAAAAAATTGGGATTTAAAATGCTATAAATTTTGTTAAATTATACAAATTATTTGAAACCTTGTTTCAATTGAATACATATTTTCGTTAAAAAAATGCATTAAGCTAAACAAAATTTGTGAAGTTTTGCCGTCAAATTCCGGAACCCTGTTTTTTCCCCCAACTTTCACAGACCAGATTATTTTAACGGAGCAGTTTTGCAATAGTGCAAAATCCTCTCCGAACGTGCTCTGCAATATGGATAAGTGGAAAGTTAAGGGGAAAAAAGTATGCAAATTGTGTACCATCTTAAATATATCCCGTCCCATCCCATCCGGCTCCTTAAAACCTAAAAGCGAATCAGAATTAATTATTTCCGCAAATTTGCAATTTTGCAAAAAAAATATACAACTTGTTTTTAGTTTTTTTAAGTGAAGGAGAGCTATAATTTTTCAACTATGTGATTAAAAGTATGCAAATTCTACATCATCTTACATAAATATATCCCATCCTATCCGGCTCCTTGCTACAGGAAATAAACGCTAAAAACAAATCATAATTATTTTAGCAAACTCGCAATTTTGCAAAAAAATGTGACTTGTTATAAGTTTTTTAAAGTGAAGGCGAACTATAATTTTGTGATCATGTGATTTTTAAAAAATTTCTGAGAAAAGTATACGTAGTAATTTTTGTGATATTAAATTTTGTGGTAAGTTTTTTTTTCTAAAAAAATGGGCAAATTTTGGGTGCAACCAAGCTTCCGGGGATTAGCATATCTTGCCGCGGGAAATTTCTTGGTGAGTGTAAATTAAATAAATAAATGAAAATTATAGTTTAAATTAATAATTATTATTTATTACTTATTTTTCATTGATTAGTAATTATTTAATTAGGCAAGGATCATCCTGTTCTTGGATAAACTGGCCAATTCGTTTTTCTCCTATGAAATGGTATGAATTTTTAGCGATGGGGCATTTCACACACTTGGCAAAATCCAAGAATTCTATAAACTTACAAAAGTTTACAAATATTCTGAAGAAAAATTAGCTTACAAATTTCTGAAAACTTGCTCAGATCAAGGACGTCTCTATATTTTGAATAAGTTTATTAAATTAATTTGTAAAATGCACCGATTTTACAAAGTTATCAAGTAACGCGTGAATTGCCTAATGACGAAGAAACGGGAGAATTCAAGCGTTATAAATATAGATTTTTAATATTATTAGTTTTTTTAATTAAAAAATAATTGTAAAACGGCGTAAAATTATTTCTATTTTATACAAAATTATACATTTTGACTAACTTAAACGGATCTAAATAATTCATATACCTTAAAATTTGAGTACCGTCGATTGCAAATTTTGCACAATAATTGGATACACTGTAAAACTACAAAATTAAAATGAAAAACTGGAAAAGATTGATAATTAGGGGTATATAAATACTCAAGTTTCGAAAAATGTCACTTTGTGTTTAATGATAATGTACAAAATAATTCATTCATATTTAGTTTTACAAAGTTACCAAGCACTTCGTGAATTGTCTCAATGTAATTTATTAGTTGTCAGAATTGGTACATGTTCTGCGATTTTGTAATTTTGTTGGACTCAAGGGTTTGATATTTTTTTAATTAGGAGAATTTAACGAGTATTTTGAATTTTGGTGTATTTTTGTAAAATGAGTTGATCTTACAGCCATCAGGTTGAACAATGTTGACATGCCAATATAAAATAAAATTTTGTAAGTATTTTAATTTTGCAAAGTTTGCATATTTAAATAAAAATCGTAGCAAAATTAATCCCACGAATATGTAAAGATTTTAGATTTTTTTTCTAATTTTCAAACCAAGAAAAGTGTTTTTCTAATATTTCTTGATGAAGACATTTTATTTTCTTAAAAATAAATACTCGTAATCAAAGGTAATGCTTATTATTAGAAAATGCTATTAAAGAGATATTTGTTGTAGTTGTCGATGTAGTAATTACATAGATTGGTATTTAAGAGTATTATTTTTTTCTGAAAGTTTTCAATTTTTTTAGGGACCTGGGGATTTTAGACTGTTCTTTGTAAAGTTGGCGATTCAAAAGTGACTCGTGAATCATGAATTCGTAATCCACTTTTTATGTTATTTTTGAGCGGGAAAAAACGGCAAATGACCAATAAAATCTTGATTTTTCGCAAACAATTCAATAGTTTTGTCATTGCTGAAAACAAAAATTAAAAAAAAAATTGTCAAATTAAAAAGTTAGACATTTGTCAGATTGAAAAAGTGAAAAATGTGAGAAAATGTGAGAAATTCGTGAAATTTTAGCCCCATAAATAATTATTCTGAGAATTAATATTATTATTAAGTTGAAATAAGATAGGGCGTCAATGCTTGGAAATTGGTGGATTTTTTTTATAGAAATTTTGTAATTTTCAAAGTGGTAAATTAACTTTCAAAACAATTAACAATTTCTGCCCCTTTAAATTAAGGAGGTGCTCCACGTGTCAAAAATTCGAAATAAGACCTCACAAAATTATGAAATTGATTCCCACACAAAATTGTATCTAGTGATATTTTCCATTATTTAAAAATTTGTCTTTTGTATAAACCTATTACAAACTTTCGGAAAAAAATCCTTAAATTGAGATAAGATTGATACCAGAACTAAATATGAATTATTTGGAAAATATCATTAGAAAGTGAGGACATTTTTGGAAATTTATATATTTTACATAATCCACAAGTACCAGCTTTTCAGTTTAATTGTATAGCTTTATAGTGTGTAAAATTATTGTGCAAAATTTACAATCGGCAGAAAACACATATATTTTCAGGTATATTCTTTAATTTATGTTAGCCAAAAATTAAAAGTTTCGTAATTTGACGCCGTTTCGCAATTATTTGTATATTTTAAGAAACAAAATATTAATTAGATCGCGTGTTCGGCGTGTAAATGTTTATATTTTTATTATAATATATGTTTATAAATGTTTATAAATGTATAAATGTAAGCGTATAAATGTAATATAAATGTTTTCCATTTCATGGTAATTAGACACTTCAATTCACACAGGCCTTGGTAATTTTGCAAAATCCGTATTAAAAAAACAAACTTTTACAAAATAAAGAGAGCAAGGTTACAAAAATTTAGGAGCTAATTTTCTTTCTGAAATAAGTTGGCATTTACAAAGTTACGCAAGAATTGTCTCCGTGGAGAATGAAATGTTTGTAAGAAATTTGAAATCCGAATTTATCAGAAAAATTTGTTAAATTTTGTAAATGTGGAAGAGTTGAGATAGATTTTGTGACTAATTTAGAAGACAAAACAAATTTAATTTAACATTAAGAACATTTTGTAAAGTTTGTATATAATTTTGTATATGTTTCACTTTTTTTCAGGTGCTGCTATACAGTGCCCACCTGGACACCCACATTCTACTCTTTTTCCAAGCCGTGTTCATGATTCCGGTAGCTTTCTTGGGGCTACTGGTTTTCTACGGGGTTGAAAAGGTGGGTTACACATAAAAATTAGGGTTATTGTTTTTCCTAAAATTTCGTAATTTTATCATTTTTCAAATCCCTAATTTTAGAAATATTTTTGTAATTAGAAAACTTTTATCTTGCAGAAATATTTCAATCTCTTTTTATATTTTTTTTCATAATTTCTACTTTTTTGTATTTTTCACAATTTCTACTTTTTTGTATTTTTTTCATTACGTCATATGTATTGTTCGTAATTTTTAATAGAAAATACTTTCACTCTTTAAATTTTAGCAATCTTTTAAACTCGTTTTATAAATATTTTTAGACAATGTCGCAATTTTTATTTTTATTTTTTGGGATTTGTGACGCATTTTTCTCAAAACTTTCACCTTTTTAAATTATACCAATCTTTCAATCTCGTTATATATGTATTTTTTGGACAATTTCATAACTTTTTTATTTATCTTTTCACCCTGTACTTTTTCGTATTTTTGTAAACTTTGACCTTTTTGCATTGTAGCAATCCTTCAACCTCGTTCTGTATCCGACGTTGATGTTACTTTTCCTAATTTTGCTACGATACGGGGCAGAAGCCGCGTTGATTACGATTCACTGGGAGGACCACTGTTTGGACAGAGGTATAATTTTTACAAATTTTCAAAAATTATTTAGTATTTACCCAATTCACTCGGATTTTTGTAACTTAACAAACTTCTAAAAGTTTGTTTCCACAAATTCCCAATGAAAATAAAGTTCCAAATCTATCGTAAACATCGATTACTAAACATCGATTGCGTCTATATTTTCTAACAATTTGTAAAAATAATTGTACACAATTTACTGCGTTACAAAACTTCGAGTGAACTGACTTGAAACAAATTTTGCGAACAATGAAATAATTTCGATTTGATATTATTTACGAAGAGATCTTTTGCACGTCAAGCACCGAAAATTACTGGGTCGCAAAATTTAATACCAGGATTTGCAAAACTTTGAGAAATATTATGTTGTTGTTTTACGAGAAACTAAAAAATTGTTAGTTTGCGAAAAGTTTTTCTTAATACGGGGTGAAAACAAATCCCTTTATGGGAATGTCTTGTCTGTCTGTCCTTCTTCGCAAATCGTCAAGTTTTAATTTCTTGTAATTTTGCAATCTTTAAATATTGCAGGGGCGAATTTAGTCTTCTACTTTGTCCTTGACCTCCTCGCTATAATCGTGCTGCTCATCTACATCTACGTCTCGCTCGCGGCGCCAACCGCGTCCGAAACGATAACGCCATCGAGGATGAACTCGTTACGGAGAAGGCTCCAAAGACTGCACAACTTCCGAACGGGAGATGTCGGAGAGGATTTAGAAGCTGCTGGGCTAAATTCGAAGTAAGTTAATTAATTAATTAATTAATAATGGTGCAATTAAATATGTGGCTTGCTACCAGTGTGTCGAATTATGCCGTAATCGGCAAAAGAATGTATTTTGCACAATTTTTTTGGCATAATCCTCCAGAAAATTTCTACGGATTTAATTCTGCCGAATTATATGCGCATAATTTTCTGCACAAATCCCTCTGATAAAGTTTTTGCAGATAACACGGCAAAATATCCGTATTAAATTTTTTCATAAAATCGGGCCAAATTGTTGCAAAACTGTGGCACAAATTTCTGCAAAAAAAATAAATTTCTATATAACATCGAGCCAAAAATATTTTTACTCGGAATTGCTTTCGAAGTTTACATCTGTAAAGTTAATACATGATGAATTAAATTTTAATCAAGAACAAAATCTTGGATAAATTATTTAATCGTTAAGTATCACTACCATAAATAAATTTAAGTAATACTTAATATCGATTAATAAATTTTAATCTAGATTATATTGAAATGCTTTACATATAAGATTAAAACAACATATTTTCGTAAATAAATAATCTTGTTTAAAATAATAATACATGTAGCTCTTACATTAGTGATTAATGGCTAATAATAATTTTTTGTTTACGAAGTATAATTAAAATAAATTCATATTTGTTTAACCTCATAAATTTTGAAAAATATTTTTGAACTATTTTTTTCACATCTATTAATATTAATTAACGTATAAATGATTAATCATTAAATTCTTCGCTTTAGTCCTCAAAGCAATTCACGCAGTCCTTGGTAAATTGATAACATCCGTGCGTTTTATAAAACTGTTATCAAATAAAGAGATCTGAGTAAGTTGACAAAAATTTTTACTTTCATTTTCCTTCGAAATGTTAGTAACAATTTGTAAGTTTACGGATTTTACAAAGTTACCAAGTCCTGTGTGAATTGCATGTCTGTTTTTTTTACAGCACTTCATAACAATCAATTGATTATCAAGAACGTAATAATCTTAAACATAATTAATGCACGAATTGTAAAAACAAATTTTCTTGGCGTTTTTAGCGTACAAATTTTAATCGTATTTTTCTTTGGGATTTTTTTTCGAAAATTATATTCTTAGAAATACAAATTTTGGATTTTATAGTCAACTAGAAAAATTTGGGGTCCGACAATGGACAAATTTCAATCAATTTTTTGTGTAATTTTGTTCCAAAGTTACGAAGCACTGCGTGAATTAATTTCGTACTCCTACAAAATGATTAAAAGTTGTTGAAGTTAATTGCTAATTAATTGGCAGGAGTAGCACCGACCCGTTAATCACGCGCGTGACGGGTGTAACCAAGAAGAAGAAAAAGCCACCAGCGCCACCTCCCGAGGACGTCATTAGTCTGGAAGAGGCTTTAAAAATCCCGCCCCCGCGGCCACCCCCGTCGCCCAAATTTAATTACAAACTCCGCCGAAATGTCGCCCATTTGGAGAAAGACGAGGAGAAAGTCCTCGTCCAAGAGTTGGACAAGCAGAGGTTACGAAATTCGCAGATTTTGCAGGTAATTAAATTGGTGGCATACACAATTATTTTTAATCGTAATTAAATAATTGTACATAATTAAAGTAGAAATTCTAGAATTAAATAACTCTTTTTTGATTATTAAAAAAAATTGTATCAATAGTTGATGCACCTTTTTTATAATTTATGCGCCGAAATTAAATTAAATTGACGATACAAACATTCAAATCATACAAAAAATAATTCTGTGAAAATTTAAAATATTTAATTGCTATTCAATTAATTTATTATTCTTAGTAGTTTACAATTACTTATTTATTTAATCCACCTCTAATTTTGATATTTTTCGTACTAAAAAATATGATTTTTTTTAGAAATCAAATACGTAAATCCCGAATAATGCCAAAAATTGTTACCCAGCCGGGAATCGAACCACGGCTCCCTTGAATTCATGTCAAGTGCTCTGACCTCTGAGCTACTAGGGCAATTAGTAACATTATAGGGACTTTTACTGATATTTGTCTGTGGCCTTTTTCTGTGAATTTCTACTTTCTTTTACGGTGGTAACGAACTGTTGCCTACCAAAGAAAGTTCACTTTTGGCCTAAAAATCATGTTTACATACTCATCCTCAGTATACTTTACTGCCTTCACATAAAATTTGAATTTTATAATTTGTAAATTTCATAGAGTTTTCAAAATACAGATGAAATGTAACTGCGTCAAGTCGGAGTTGAAATAATTATCTAGTCTCGAAATCTTTGTACGTATTAAAAAAAATAAGTTTTTCAAGTAATTTAATAAATAAGGTTTTAAATCATATTTCCAACCTTATTGGTGTAGTCCGTCGCCAAGAGATCGAAATCGCCCTCCACCTTATTGGTGGAATCCGTTTTTAAAAGGTTAATAATTTAATTGCGGGATGAATCAATTCGTTTCCTCCGCGTAGCCGTTAGTGATTGACGAATCCTGATTTATGAGCGATGATTTTTTTTATTTTTGTGATATCAAATCGTTTTATTGGATGTTTTTTAATGTCGAAAAATAAATTATTTAAATTAATGATTGATTTGCACATTAGCAAAATTATGTTGTATTTTCAGACCTAGTATAATTATTATTGGACGGATATTTTTGCCTTTTATGAAAATTTTAACCGTTCTATTTTTTAAAATTTCCAAATCTAAAAATCTAATTTTATTTTATTTTTCTAGGAGGACGAAGAAGGCGAAAAATTAGCCGAACGCGATACCGAATCTCCCACACCAACTTTCACCCTAAGTTTAAAAAAAGTTTTACCAGTTTACGAAAACGAGCCGAAAAGAAGGTCTCTCCTTTTTGAAACGGATTTGGACGAAGTCGCAAATTCCGTCATGTTCCAAGGACAAACCGGAAGTCGTCCCATTACACCGGAAGTGAAGTCATCGTCATCAAGGGGAAGTCGTCCAATCACACCGGAAGTGAAGGCCTCGACACCGGAAGTGAAAGCATCACCAGTTGAACCAAACCCATCGCCTCTTCCCCCTGTCGAAAATGATAAGCCCGACCAAAATTGTAAACCGGAAGTTGATAACCCTGTCGAAGAAGATGACGATGAGTGGGAGTACGAATACGAAGTGGAGGACGAACCAGAAAATGATAAGGCAGACGAAACTGCTTTACCACCCGAAGAAGAAACCAGAGTAAAAGTGGAATCGGGTAAAATTCCGGAAGAAGAAATATGTCAGCACGAACCGGAAACCACAATTTCTGATAAAGGATTCAAAACGACGGCGGTATGATGAAGGGGGCTGAATTCGAATAATTTCAAAATGTTTATGGGGTAAAAAATGTGTAAGTTTAAATTATGTGTCAATCTGTTTGTTTCGTGTATGGAAATAAAAGCGAAAATTTCTTTTAAATTCGATTCAATAAAGAATCATTTGGAAGGACATAAAGACAGACCATTGGCTGATTGGCTACATTAGCCCCATATTTGAGTGAAATAATAGAAGACCGATAAATTTTTATGGGTGTTTTTTTGCCCACGTTATTTTGTGCGTATTTTTTTCGGACGTTATGTTGTGCGTGTTAGTTTACGCGAGTAATTTTGGGCATGATATTTTACAAAATTATTTTGCACATTTGATAAATATTTTCACACGACTTGACGCCATTAAGGTTATTTTTTGCTTTGTACGAAATATTAATAATTGTAGGTCCAGCACGGTCTTTGTTTTAGCAATTTACAAAACTACTTGCAAAATTAGGTGTAAAATTCATAATGCAAAAACACTTTACGTTTCATAAATTAATTTTCAAAATTTGTACGCACCATGTTTGTCAAAAAATACAGAAATATTCAAAAATTTCTAAAAAGATCTGGGAATCCCAGAACCTAAGAAATTTGCATGTTTCTTGTACAGATAAATTTGCAAATTTATAAATTTGCAAATGGTTAATGTTTAAGACATAATACCCGCTATGATAAATATGTAAATGAGAGACTTGTTTACAAAAAATCAGATATGCCAATAGATCAAAAGTTCAGTTTCTTTCCATCCTAACAAAGATTAGGCCTGTTTATTCGTTAATAAATATATGAACATTCATGGTGGTTGATAAAGTATATACAAAATTTCTACATAAAAATTTACATTTGAAATTTCTCCATTACTTTTTGGGTTCACAAGTGTGACTTCCATGAATATATGCGCCACAAGATGAACATTGCGTGGCAGGACCGCTGTCATCATCCGACCCCCAGCTTGGCCACGTCCGCGTCCCACAAGTCGAAATTCGGGACGAGGATCCGGTGGTCACTCGGTGGTGAAAGAGATGTTGGAACGTCATCGTCAAGGCTTGTGATAAGCTAATTGGAGGAAACAAGACGAAAATTACTTAAAAAGTTAAACAATAATTGCACTCTTAAAAAACCGGTATTGAATCATTATCGGAGAACTTAAATGACTCTAATGGCACTGGTAATAACGGCCATTACCGTTTAATAATGGTGTCTCAATGAAAAATTCACTATTCAGGAACAATCTACTACCAATCCGGTAGCAAGTTATTACCAAATCAATACTAGTACAGAGTATATACCAGATTTTTAACAGTGTGTATGAAAAAGTTAAACCAACCTGAGATGCAAAATTGATTTGAATTATTTTTGCTACAGTTTTCTTCTGATAGTCTCGAGTTCCAACAAAGTTGTGAATTTTGGTTCTTCCTAGATTCCATTTTATATGCAAATTTACACATTTTTGGTCATGATACAAATTTCATGAGCTTCATTCACAGAAAGGTCGATGCATATAAACACACAGTATTTAAAAGTCGAGTTAGAACAAAGTTGCGAATTTTGTTCGTTCGCATTTTCCATGAAGATTTAATTATTTTGCTCATGATTTTAGTTCATGAGCTTCATTCACAGAAAATTCGATGCATTTAAAAACAAAGTATGTAAATGTTATTATCTAAATTTTAATGGGATTCATCATGATATCGAGACTCGCAAGTGAGTCAGGTTGCCGCACTGGGTTAACATTGCTTATCTAAAAATAGCCACGTATTTAGGAGCATGACGCGGATTAGATTAGTATAAGCCGCACAATTAGATATGGTTATAACAGATGACTCAATGATTACACTGTTAAAATTCTGGTAGAGTCAGATATATATTCCATGCTGGTATTGATTTGGTAATAACTTTCTACCGGACTGGTAGTGGTTTGTTTCTGGCTCACTACCACAACATTACTAAACCGTAATACCCGTTATTACAGTGCCGGTAGAGTCAATCTACATATATGTACTCCGATCTGTAATAAGTTAATACCAGGTTTTATAAGAGTGTTTGTATGCATATATGCAAAATGATAAGCAACAACTTATCATCGTCATCGTTCTGTTTTTCAGTCATGATCATGACAATTCATGACACTCACTTATCTTGCACAGCTTCATGAAGTCGATTCTCAAACCGGATGTGGCTGCATGTGAGCATTAAAACGGAGACAAACTGTGCACGCATTTCTTATGGGGAGCTTATCATGACAAACATGAAGATAACCTATCTCTCGTAAATTTAAATTGAATACATGATAACTTCTTAACATCTTAAATTTGATTTGAAACGTTTCTCAAGATTTCTTGCCGTGTCAGACACCCTAAATTATCATGAAGGGCAGACACTGTTGTAGTATACCACATCCGGTAATATACTCCGAACTCGTACTGATTTTGTAGTAACTTCTTACCAGATTGGTAATAATTGGATTACACGGAGTTTAGTGGAAAAATCGAAGAAAAAGTTTGCTTTATTTCGTCAATATTTCGAATGCTATCTGCCATTGATAATTGTTTGTGTTTCTGCCTGGTAAATTTTTTATTACTATAATATCACTAAACGGTAATGCGCGTTATTACCGTGCCGGTAAAGTCATACTTGTACTCCGACCAGTAATGATTTAATACCAGTTGTGTACCTCACGGCTCACCGCGATTTTAGACATCAAACTAATTACAATCACCTAAATAAATATGTTCGGGTGAAAAAAATTGCGATAAAACTAAACTGACACCCAGTTCTAAAACTATTCGTGCAAAATTCTTATTAAAAAACTACAGAAACGATTAACACAACACGCAGCTTAATTTAACGATGATATTGATAAGTGCATGGTTTACAATTTATTCGTAATATTTTTACTCCCCATTTATCCAATTGTATCATAAATTTGTACAAAATTTAAATTTTTGCACCGTTTCCAAAAGTAATGAATCGCTCCTTTAACCATTTCCAAATAAGAATTTTTTCCCGATAACCATATCGTGGGGATAAGTTGAGATTGCGGCCTTGATTCAGAAGCCTGCCCCACTGCCAAAGTAGCCTCGGACGAGGTAGCTGACGCCAAGCAGGGTGACGACGACGCCGAGTCTGGTCGAACCGTTCATGTTGCCATTACTGTCGTTAAAACCGTTGCAAAAGTCCGTTCTAAAGCACATGGTCGGTCTCTCATTAGGATCAGCAGTTCTCGGTAGTATCCTGTTAGTAATGTTGTATTTGTATTGAATAGCACTATGTCCAGAATCGGAGTGCCAGCAACCTCTGCCCAGTGTTTTATGGGCGAAACAACGTAAATCAAAGGGGTCTCCTTTAAAGCAAAAAGAAAATCGCGATTAGAAGAGATTTCAAAATTTTAGATTGATTAAAAAAATAATTAAGCTTGACGGAAAATCCTCGCGCTTTATTCGACCTGCTGAACACGTGACTAGATTGATTGACACGTGCCGCAAATAATTACATGCAATTTATCATCGTAATTCTCCATCTACTGGTACGGCAGTTGTCGTAAAATCTCAAATTGCACATTTTTCAAGGTCAACGCGGATGATTCTAAATTCAAATCCGTCACGCTTAATTATTTTAAAATCAATATTACAAAAAACACACCAGTGACCCAGGCGGATGGACATTCAGCCTGGCTGGATGCTTGCTTTTGGGTGTCTGTATTGAAGTTTTCGCATTTCCCGGAGGCGTTCACTTTCTTCCGATAATTGATAACCGAGGGGTTGTCTTCAGAAGAGCCAGAGGAAGGATTCTTTGCCAGCTCGGCCGCGTAGTCGACAGTTCCTCGGCAAATGTAGCATTTGAGTCCTATCGAGGAAAATAAAAAGATGCAAATTATGTATAAGTAGTAATCTGTTTCGATCAGTTTACTTGCATATTTTTCTCAACTCACCATCCGCCGAGGGGACGAAGACCATCGTGACGGCGGTGATGGTGACGACGAAGAGCAGGGCCGAGATTTTCATCTCGTTCCAGCTCGAAATACGGGGTTGCGGTCCGGAGTGAAGGAAGGCTGGGTTCGGAAGATGGTCAACTCGAGCAGAAAACAAATTGCGAGACTTGGACAGAAAATAAAACTGTCCGCCTTGAAAAGTTGAAGAAACTGAAATTTTTTGGCACTTTTTCGTCAATTTTCAAACTGGGCGTTCTGGGGAGGGAAGTTGGCAGGGAAATTTCGCTCTGAATTTCAGAAATTGTAAAACTTACGGGGCTAACGCCGTGATGATAGAAAAGCTATTAATTATGGTGATTCATTAATTTCTAGTTTGGACCATTGTTTCCAATTCTAAGTATTTTCACCTGATTTGCATTTGTATGTAAACCAACAATGAAATGAAAACCGGGCATAATTTAAATTTTATTTAAATATTTATGTACACAGGAATAAATGTATCTAGTAACTATTGTCTATTCAATATGTAGGGTGAAATTTAGATTGCTTTGTCGGTTTTTAGTAACCATATACTAATAGGTACATAATTAATTATTGAACCTTGTTTATGTATATGTATAATGCATATTGGGGAGTATTATTATCCCCTCTTGAGTAGGTATACATAATATGTATTACATAAAATGTTAAAAATGTTAAAATGTTAAAATGTGACAGTTTTACATCGCCAGGACTCAGATTTCTCTGCTTTTCAGCCTCAGATGGCGACTTCTTGCCATAATTTCGTAGCAAGTTGTCTCATCCCCACAGAGAACGGACTCTGCTAGGGGCTGTACACAGTGACATTGCCATTCCGTATGGCTGGGCTCACCCTGTCACGAGACAGCACCTACCCCGTACTAACACCGAGCCGAGTAGGATTAGCAATAGCTTCCCGGCCAGAGGAATCGAACGTGTGACTGCGTGGTGACAATCCTACCCTCGTACCTCTGAGCCATAGGGCCTTGCTTCTATATATGTATGTAAGTATTGCAAGTATTAAATTTTATATATATATGAAATTTATCTATAGATATAACCATTTTAGTAATCCGATCCGATCCGAAATCCGTCGGATTGATCCGAATCGGATCGGATTGGTCGGTTAATCCGCCTCGGATCAATCCGATACCCGGATTAATCCGAGTCGGATTGATCCGATGACCCCAAAATCCGATCCGATCCGATCCGCACCCATTCCTACTAAGAAGGCAAAAAAAATGCGAGCCTGGGACAGAAAATAAAACTGTCCGCCTTGAAAAGTTGCGAGAAACTGAAATTTTTTGGCACTTTTTCCTCACTTTTCAAACTGGGCGTTTTGAAGGAGATCAGTTGGCAGGGAAATTTCAGGCTGAATTTCAGAAATTGTAAAAACTACGGGGCAGGGGACGTGGGGCGTGGGGATAGAAATGCGATCAATCATGATTAATACCTATTTCCACGTGTACGTACTTATTTTGCATACTATGAACTGGCATAAGTATTGATTCTTAAGATAATTTGCATGTGTATGTATAAACGAAAGATTGTTAAGGGACAAAGGTATTTCTTTGGCCTGAATTTTGACCATGTTGCCAGCATGGAGGATTTGTGAAATTTCTTTTAAAAAATCGTACAAGTCTTCTTCTTCATTTTGATGTATGTCTCAGAAATCCTCCATGTTGGCATCGATGTGAAAATCACATCCGAAGGGGGTCGGTTTTGACAAAATATGCAGTACTCAACCCCAAAAATACCAAATTATGGTAACTATGTAACATATTTGAATTTTATTTTATTATCGTGATGATAAAATTAGCCCCAGCCAGGACTTTTGGAACCGTCGTGTCCGTCCTTCTGTCTGTATATCAGGATTATGATAACTCCCGTTAACCTTATCCTATCGACTTGAAATTTGGTACACATGTAGTATGGGGCAAATGGTGAGTTAAGTACGAAGATGAGCAAATCAGTTAACTGGTTGACCGGTGTGGGTCGTCTGGATGGGTCGGGTATTATCACCAAAAGTTCAAAATTGTCACAGAAAGCTGAAATTTGGTACAGAGATTACTAATGGCTCCTAAAAAAAGAATATTGATTGAGATGGGAGAACTTTTTGTCTGCAGAGACCCGAGGGAGTGACCCATACCGATTTTTAAAAATCGTCATATCGAGTTGAAATTTGGTAAAGAGGTTGCTTCTCATGAAAGAGTATGCAATTAAAAGTGAGCAAGGTGTAACCAGAGTGGCCCATAGGGTGACCCCTTTCTAAAAGTTGGTATTCTAAAAGTTGGTAGACCGATATTCGAGACATTGGTCATATGCACTATTGATTGGGAAATGGTTAAGCGTTATGGAATTTCTCAGAAAACACGTGCGGGCTGAAATTCAAATCAAATCCATCATCTATTTCCCAATCAATATGCACAAATGTGTACAAAAGTGTACAATAGCTGCATCCATAGTCCATGATTTGTTAGTGATTTGGTGATGCTTTCACAGGTTCATGATTTCAGCATATTAATCACCATAAGAGTTATAAAATCGACCAATCAGAAAATCGGAATAAAAATATTTTTTTAAATTAAGACGAAATCATGAACAAATCACGGACTATGGATACAGCTAATGTAATGACCGAATTACTATTTGAATCACCCAGTAGGGTCACCCCCACTGGTTTTCTAAAACGGTCGTAGAAGACTGAAATTTGGTATGATCCGTAGGGGTTTCAGCCGAGAAATTTTTAGCCTCCATACCATAGCAATTTTTAAAACTACGTCTGCGTACGAAATATAGCTTTGGATGTTCAAGATTTTAACGAAGCGAGCCCCACGGGTGTTGGTGGTGAAGGGGGCAGATTTGTAATTACTTCAAAAATTTAGAAGCGGATTCTGTTCCCGACTAGGACTAAGGAAAAATGAGATCTGTACTGTAGTTTTTTTAAATAATTAATATTACTGGTAAATACCATACGAAAAGACATGAGATTTTGAAATTAACAGAAATATGAATAGCTCGGCTCGGGCTATATCAAGTTCACCGTTGTTGAGTTAAAATTAAAATTAAATGGTTACAAATCGGCTCCTGGCAACAAAAAAAATGGGTGCTGCAAGGCCCAGGAAAATTGCTTATCCCTTAATAATCTTTAAATTTTAACTAGGTATTTATTATGTACATGTATTAGAGTAAAAAATAAGATAACTAAACTGACACCCAGTTCTAAAACCACACTTCAGAAAAACTCGGTGTAAAATGCTTATTAAATTATTATGCAGACGACCAACAGGCAGCTTAATTTGACGATTATATTATAAGTGGTTTACAGGTTATTTATAACATTTCCGCTCCGCATTTATCCAATTGTAAATAATTATTAAAAATTTGTACACACTTTAAATTTTGCACCGTTTCAAAAAGTAATAAATCGCCTCTTTAAACATTTCCAAATAAGAATTTATCCCTGATAACCGCATCGCTTATCAGATTCAGAAGCCTGCACCGCTGCCAAAGTAGCGTTGGACGAGGTAACTGACGCCGAAAAAGACGACGACGAGTCCGGTCGAACCATTCATGTTGCCGGTACTGCCGTTAAAACCGTTGCAAAGGTCTGTCCGATAGCACACGCTCGGTTTCTTGTTAGGGTCAAATGTTCTCTCAACGTTGAATTTAAGGTTGTATTTTTCTCGAACTCTACTATATGCAAAACCCGAGCCAACGCACCCCCTTCCAAGTTCCTTGTGGGCAAAACAACGTCTGCTATCTTGGTATGAAAAGAGAGAACCATGATTACGAAAGGTTTCAAAGATTTAGGACCGATAAGATGTGTTGGCGTCCGTACCGACGAAGGTTATCGGTCCGTTGCTATTTTGAGAACAATGTTGTACACTAAATCCGCGCAGGATTGAACTTTTATAGAAATTGAGAATTCTGAGAAACTATACCACTTTCAGTCTCATATTCCTTTAAATCATGCTGACGGGGGGAACTTAGTTTCTCAATTTCTATAACAGTTCAATCCTGCGTGGATTTTTTAGTATATTTGGTCGAAAGCCACACCTTTGTCCCAGTCGGATGGACATTCTGCCTGACTGGATGGTACTTGTTGGGTCTCTGTATTGAAGTCGTCGCATTTCCCGGAGGCATCCACTTTCTTCAGATAATTGATAATTGAGGTACTATTTGCAGCAGAGTTAGGATCTTTTGCCAGCTCGGTCGCGAAGTTGACAGGTCCTCGGCAAATGTAGCATTTGAGTCCTACCGGGGGAAATAATGAAAAAATGCGAAATTGCGAATTAATCTGGGTCATCAGCTTATTTACATATTTTCTGAACTCACCAACCGCCGAGGGGACGAAGACCATCGTGACGGCGACGATGAAAAGCAGTGCTGCCGAGATTTTCATCTTCTTTGACGTTTCAAGTCCAGTTCGAAATGCGGGGTCGCGGACCGTGATGAACAATGATACAAAGGTGGCCAACTCGAGCAGAGAACAAGGTCAAGCAGTAAAAAATACTGGACTGCGACAGAAAACACGACTGTCCACTTGACATTTTTCGAAGGTTTTCAAACTGGGCGTTTAGATCAGTTGGCACAGAAATTTTGCTGAACATTTCAGAAATTATAAAAATTACGGGGCACAGGAGGGGAGGAAAATTGAGGACTATTGCTTTCCAAGTTCTATTTTCAAGTGTATGCCGTATTTCGCACATGGATATGAAATGGCATAAAATGATTCTTAATAAAATCAAACCTGGACTGGACATAATTTAAGTTTTACGTGCTCTAGATTTTAATTTCTGTTCAAACACAACCAAAGTTTTCTTTCACACTGAAAATTCTTCAATAAATCATACATTTCAAACCCGACATTAAACTTAAAATTGAAGTTAAAATACAAATTAAATCTTGAAAAACTCGAACTTGTCTTCATGTCATCAGTCATGGTCAATCGATCGTGATGATCTCGTGTTCTTGGTCACATTTCACTTCGTCATGATGCGCAACTACATTGTCCTCGCCCATGTTGACCACATCAGATTGCTTGACCGACTCAGCAGTTTGTCCCTTGTTCTCGATGTCCTTGAAAGACGCGTCCACGACTACATTTTCCTCGGCCGTTTTGGTCGCATCAGATTTCTTGACCGCCTCAGTTTCCCTCTTTTTCTCGATGTCCTTGAAATACGCATCCTCTTTGGCCAAAAGTTCGACAACTTGGTGCGGAACATAGCTCGAGTCGTGGGCAATTGTTGAGTGGAGCATCATTCCCACGACGCCTTGACCTCGTTGCCGCATCGCGGCCCGGACTCGACCTTCCTCTTGGACAAGGGTGTCCAGCTTGGACCACTGCGAGAAGCAGGCAAAAAATGAAAGTTAGTCTTTGAAAACTACGGCAAAAAAATTTCTATATCGTTTAGGGCGTCGAAAATATGAAGATTTTCCGGCTTTCGATTATTCGGGTTCACCAAAAGTTTGGTGAAACCGGTTTTTGATTAATCAGGAAAATTTTAAGAATCCGGATTTCAATACTGTGTAAAACCGGTTTTATCCAGGGAGCTCATGCTCGAACACGTCGTTAGCTTAGCGACGTCGTAAAAATTAGTGACACATGCTCAAAATAATTTTTAGCGATGTCGGTATTGCTAAAGGACACCTTTGAGCATGTGTCCTTAGCACTTGTCGTTAGTAGCGACACCGACGTATGCTCAAAACTTTGATTGTCGGTAAGACCTTGGAATTTGTCAAGTTTTCGACGCCTAAATAGCTGTCGAAACGAGATAAATTTGTCGTAATTTGCTGTTAATTAGGATCCGTTCATATATTATGTAAACATTTTATGGGGGGAGGGGGTCGAGATGCTATTGACGATTGTTGACGAGGGATTGGGTATGTTGGTTTGCATATGTTGATGCCAACTTTGTTTCGGGCAAATTGAGTCGCTGGATTGCGAAATTCTTAATGAGTTTCCGCAACTCAGCTCAAACTCATTATTGTTCAAATCACTCATTTTGAAACGAGTCGTTTGAAATGAATTGAATGAATGAAATGAATTGACTCAAACTCAATTCAACTCATCCTCAGCAACTCATGAGTCAAATGCGTTGACTCGAACAGTTCGAGTCGAACTCATTGGCAGTCCTAATCGAGAGAGATTGAAGGAAAACAATATAATTATGCCGCGGTTACGTGCTTATCAAAAATGAGATTTATGAATTTTTAGATAATTCGCAATTTTTTCGCAATTCGCAATTTTTCACAGTAAATTTGCTTAAAAATTAATTGGCAAATTTTTTCAAAACGATTTTTTTAAAACGATTTGTTTATAGTATAAAAATTTAGCTTTAGATTAAAATATCAAAGTTGCATTTACCCTCAAATTAATTTAAAAACTAATTTTAAATTTTGTGCACTCAATATTAAGAGGACCCGTATTTTTACATTTTTCTGAATACCCGTTTTAGTCCGTAACGGAATTTTCAAACAAATTTTAAGCTAAAATCTTGATTTTGTAAATTCTGTAACTTTTTAAATTATGACATAATTTTAAAAACTCGAAAACATGTCTGCTCACAATGACTTCCCCATTTTACTTCAGAATTTTCTTTGATAGTTTGACAAGTTATTACAAGTGGGTTGAAATTTTATCCCACTCCTACACCTAAAATAAAGTGGTAGTAGACGTAAGAACAAAACTCCTCAGTTACCAAGATCGTTGTGAACCACTCCCTTAATCGGAAATAGATTACAAATTTTAACGATTTTTTTCCGACAATGTCGTTAAACTCATAACGACAACATTTTCCGACGCCTTGACGACAAATGATGAGCATACGTCGTTATAATTTGTTACTAAGGCGTCGTTAATTTACGACGTCGGTAAGTTAAGGACGCGTTCGAGCATGAGCTCCCAGGTATTTAAAACAAGTCTAGTAATTAATGTAGAAAATCAGAATTTTTAAAAATTTGTACCAAGGATAAACCGGTTGTGAAAACCAGTTTAAAATCGGTTTTGCACAGAATCGAAAACAGGTTTGCTAAAATTTTCTAGATTACTTGAAAACCGGTTTTACAATTTTCAGATATGCGTTTTTACAATTTTATTTTCAGTTATAAAACAAAATGAATTTCTTCTTAAAATCCAAAACCGGTTTTTGAACCAGGTTTGTGAAAATTCTAAAACCGGTCTTAAACTGGTTTTTAATCGGTTTTACAAAATCAGAAGCCCTGATATCACCACGTCACCTGCAGATCCCGCTCCACATCGATGGCAGCTCGTTGGACGCGCTCCCATTGAAAATGCTTGTTACACTTGGCCCGATTGTAGCGACACATTTCATCCTTTACCGAAGGGTGCTCGATCTTGGAAGGAAATCCGCACATGATTTTGGCCGGATTGAGAGCGGCGTCATTTTTGTGCTTCTTGATCCTCTTGACCTCGTGGAGGATGCAGAGCGAGGCGTACTTGCGACAGTACGTGCCCGCCCTGGGGTCGTAGAAGTCGAAGAAGATCGGTAACTGGGAGCAACTCGGTTTGAAGGGAAGCTTGTAAGAGACCAATTCATGCTTGGATTCCATCTGTAACGTATTTAATTATCGATTAATTAAGTAATTAAGTAATTAATTAATAATTACTATTTATGTTTGACCTTTAAGTAACAGTTTTCCATATGTTTAACCAACTTGTTCACTTTGACATGCTTCCCGCACGAGACACAGTCCATCGACCCCTCCTCCACCGGGACCGGAGAATCAGGGGGGTTACCTTCAAACGGAAGTTGTTCCACGGCCAAGATGTACTCCTCGAGTCGCTAAATATTGCAAAATTAGATCAAAATCAATACTGATCACGTAGGGCTCGATGGCTAATCGCCAAAATCGTCAAAATCAACACATTTTTAATCATTTCTCGCCTCTGGGAATTTATTTTAAAATTCTGAACGACAAATTTGTAGTCAGTGAGCTAATTAATAGAATGGCGTTCAGTTTTTTGAGCCAGTTTTGACGAGTTCCAATTTTTCTGAAGGCTTGTTAAACTTGAGATCTCCTCCTTCAAAAAGTGTCAAAATCTGGAGCTTATATTTTTCAAAAAATTGGCAACTCTCTCCTCTACAAATTCGTCATCTAAAATTTCAAAATAAATTCCCAGAATCGAAAAATGATTAAAAATCTGCCGATTAATCGAGTCCTTCATTCAACTCACGAGCCTCTTCTTTTCCAAGCTGCTAAGAACTTCTCTCTGCGCCTCAATCTTTCCTCGCAGTTCGCGCAACTTGTCCCGATCGCGGAGAATAGCGACGCCCTTTTTGCTTGCTTTCATAGCTTTGAGTTTTAATGGCATGAACTATAAAATGCAAAATCAAGAAATTATTATCGATACATTTTTAAATTAGTCTATCTAATTTCCCTCACCTCATGCAATCTGTGCGTCATCAGTTCAATACAACACGTCTGACTGCAATATTTTGACCCTGGTCGCGCACTCTCGATGCAATCCAAGCCGAGACATTGTCGATCCCAGTCGTCGTCGTCACTCTCGCTCTAAGAGGAGGCAGGTTCACCATTTGTCGATTCCAGTGGTTGAGAAAAGTAGAGTTTATGTTGGCAGGATGCCTTCCCCTTGGTCGAAACCTGTCGAAAAACAGAATTAACATCAATATTTACCATTACAGGGACATTCGTGAACTTCACAACGCAAAGAGGTCTGCGGGGGTGGTCATGGTCCAATGATATCGGGACACATGTTAAAAGGTAAAAAGAAATGTCTTGGTCGAAATTTATCTGAGGGAACGTTAGTAAACTTCATAACGCAAAGAGGGGTCGGGGGGGAGGTCAAGGGTCAATGATATCTTGCCTAATGTTAAAAGGGTATGGGTGAGTGTCCAAAAAACTAAAAATTTGCATATTATGAAGATTATCGACGTCCCCCAACACCAAATTATACCATGTCGTCACTCACCTTTCGTCCACTTCCACTTCCACCCTCACTTTGATGTCGCTTCTTCTTACTACTCGACGTGGGGGTTGATTTCTTCGAGGGGGTAAGTTTCTTAGTGGGGGTAGGTTTCTTGGAGGGGGTAGTTTTCGTCGTGGGCGTAGATTTCTTCGCCATCTTCTTCCCCGGCGGAGTCATCTCCATCTTGGCCATTGATTTTGCTAATGAGAATGACGACGACGACGACGACGGTGGGAGCGATGACATGGCCAACTTTCGACGTAATAGATCCATCGAACTGACCAGGTCGTTTTCCCCTTCGGAAGAGAGGTCCACCACGTTCACCTCGTCGTCAACCTCGGAGGCGGTGTCAGTCTTGTCGTCAACCTGGGAGGCGGTGTCAGTCTCTTCGTCACCTTCAAAAAAATTACGACGTTCCGAGCAAGAAGAACGGTCCCCCTGACCGTGTGGATGATGGGAGGCCATTAATTATGGCGAATTTAAAATTTTAACTGTTAATTTAATTTTAATTGCTGAAACAACTTTTTGTTGTCGTCTGCTTGGAGCGGGTGTACGTTGACGATTGAGACTTGAGAAAAAACCGAGTTTCTCAGCTGGACAACCAGGTGACGTCTCGTCGTCACTGAACTGACGAGTTTTTGCACTTTATATTTCGCAATTAAATTAATTTTCACAGTTAATTTTTAATTATTGAGATTGTCAATTTTAATTATTAAAATTGTTCTGCAGCTGTATTTATGACAGCCAGCGAGAGACTTTGATTTAATTTGACTGACAAAATGATGAAGTGCAGTTTTTTTACAAATAAATAATTTCTGATCTATGTTTTCCCCAAATTTCAAAATTTTTATTATTAATTATCTTTATCTTATCATTATCATCATTTTAAGCTAACATTGCATGCGTGAATACCACTGCCCAATACACCACGGCAAAAATTGTGAAGGTCACAGGGAAAATAATTTTCGACCAGTTATCAATCTCCCTCCAAAGGACGACCCTTGGATGGAATTCTTCCCCGAATTGGTCATGCCTCTCGTCCCGAATTCGGGACCAAATTAGGGGCAAGGTGGCCCCACAACAGACCCGTTTTTCTACCAGGGAGGGTAAATTACTGGTGGCGATACTCCGTCCCGATAAGACGACGGAACCAAGGCGGCGTTTCGGGTAGGGGGGACGCTCGGCAAGTTGGGGTGGTGGTGGTGGGGTGGAAGGTTGGGGGGGAAGTTGTTGTTGTTGATCTCGTAGTTCTTGCCATAACCAGAATGCTGAGTATGGTGTGGGGGGTGTGGTCGGGGATAATTGGGGGGTTGAGGTTTCTGCGGGTTTTTTCCAGGGTCGGGTATCTACGGATGAAGATGAAAGGAAGAGTTTAAGGAAGGAATGTTATTTATGAATTTTCTAAAATGCAAAAATTGCTTGAAGCAACCTTGCGCAATTGGCAAAAATGGATGAACGTTTGAATATCGCTGTATTAACTTTGTATATTTTGTAGAAATCAAAAATCCAGAGATACTGCTTCATTTGTTATATGTAAGAGTTCAAAGTGATCCAGGATGAATAATTATATTATAAAACTGGTTCAATTAGGTATGAAGAATTTGAGAAATTGTAAGAGTTTGACGTCAAAATAAAATAAAGTGATGAAAGTCAGCCCTTGATCTGTATCAATATATTTATAATGGATTTATCCACCTACTAAAAAAAAGTTTACTATTTTTTAGTAATTCGTGGTCTTTGAAAAGTTGCGTTTGTTAATTTACGAAAGTTAGTGAGCTGCAAATATTCGAGTGAATTGTCTCGAAATTTGCTTGAATCTTTGTAATGCTTTGTAATAACTTTGTAAACTTTATAAATTTTGTTATTTTACAAAATCGAGAAACACGCCTTTGACTTTTGTCAATTTATTTCAAGTGGATTTGTTAACCTTGATTTTTGATGGGATTTTGAAGTTTACGAAAGTTACTAGTGAAAATGAAGTTGCAAATATTCGAGTTAATTCTTTCGCTCGATATAAACTTATTTTAGTATTTTACCCAAATTTTATAAAATTTTGAGAAAATCACTACAAATTTCGAATACCTGGTTTCATTCCGTGTAGCTGTGGCGTTGTGGGGCTTGGTTCGGCACTTGTGGTCGCTTGGTTGTTCGCTATAAATTCGTACTTCGAATGAAGAGAATTGTTCCGATCCAGATAGATTTTTGTGAGGGACAAAACCTGAAAAATGTATTTTTCGGTGGTAGCAATTATTAAGGCTAGCCTCCATGACGTGATCGTCTCAAATATCATTGAATAATTTAAGCTGCGCGAAATTTGCATCCACCTTCGCACTTTGAATTACATTACCCGAATGAGCCGAATTATTTTATTATTTTACACCAGTTATTTTCATTTTGGCGTAGAAATCATACTAACTTGAATAATTTGATCGCCAGTTATTTTTATTTATAACACCAGTTATTTTTATTTATAACACCAGTTATTTTTATTTATAACACCAGTTATTTTTATTTATAACACCAGTTATTTTTATTTATAACACCAGTTATTTTTATTTATAACACCAGTTATTTTTATTTATAACACCAGTTATTTTTATTTATAACACCAGTTATTTTTATTTATAACACCAGTTATTTTTATTTATAACACCAGTTATTTTTATTTATAACACCAGTTATTTTTATTTATAACACCAGTTATTTTTATTTATAACACCAGTTATTTTTATTTATAACACCAGTTATTTTTATTTATAACACCAGTTATTTTTATTTATAACACCAGTTATTTTTATTTTGGCGTTGAAAATGAAAATAACTGGTGTTATAAATAAAAATAACTGGTGTAAAATAATAGGATAATTCGGCTCATTCGGCTAATGTAATCGCGGATCCAGTACTTCCTTCAGGTGGACGGACTCGACTCATCACAAGATTTCCCATTCCCATACTTTTACATACATAAATACACAGCAATATTCATCAATTTCAAACTAATTTTGCAAGACTTAGAAATCGAATTTCGAAATTCTGTACACCGCTATTTTTGATAATTAGCTGCTTAAAAATATGCACTTAAAATTTATAAATATGGATAAGCCAATCTTGCCTGATGATTAGCATGTGTTCTTATGGAAATTACACTAATTGTGGCATCCAGCCATTCTCAAACTACCAAAATGTTTGATGTTGGCTCGAGTACAACGACCACGACATGCTCTACAATATTGTCGAGCAGAATTTCGAAATTCGTCCTAGTTGCTGAGAATTAATTAAAAATATAGGGTCGTGACGTCACTGTTATGACGTAGGCGGCGCGTCATGGAAGCTTGCGTTAAGATATACATTTAACAGATCGAGTCAGATTGGGCCATAAATTAATTTACAAAGCTAAAAAGTTAGTAGCATTAAATTTTGGAAATTTTATGTAAACCTAGTCTATTTTTATAACTTAATAATTTCTGCGAATTGAAGTAATCAGCTCGCCGTACGAAAATCAAGAAACCAATTTACGCCACTAAATTTTGCAAATTTTCGCAATTTTATAAAAATCTCAAAAAAGTAACCAAGAAATTCTCGCTAAAAAAATCTTTTTTTGCACCTAATTTAACCCGCAACAAATGCACGGCGCAAGAAACGACTTCCCGCCTCTAAAATACGGCGCGTCGCCAAATGACGCGCATACCTGTTCACTTACATTCATTTGACTGATTATGACAGTGAATGAAAATGAATTTGTCAGAAATCGGGATGATTGACTTTGAACGAAAAATGAATTTGTCAGAAATCGGGATGATTGACTTTGAACGAAAACTGAATTTTTGAACATGCAGTTTCTTGTACCTTTGCATTTCTCACGTTTCTTACTTTTCATTGCAAAAAAAATGTAGCAAACCCGAAAGAAATTAAACCCTAATTTTTCCATTTTTGACATAATTTATGGGTGGTCCATAAATTATGTCACGCTGAGGATGGGGGGGAGGGGTTCCAAGCATCCGTGACAAAGTGTGACATACGGGGAGGGGGGGTTCGGCCGATCCGTGACATCACGTTTTCCAGACCTAACTTAATGCAAACTTTAACTCACATTTTAATTCTCCGACTATGACTAAACTAAAGTTTCGTAATTATTTCGAAATATATGTCCAACTGAACATCAAACCTTTGCATCCAAAGCAATCAAGTTTTAGATTTTGATATTTTCAACCAAGTTTCCAAAATTTTGTTCAAACCTTTAAATAATTTGCACAGTATCCAATTATTTCTAAATTACAAAAAAAAATTAATTCATGATGCCATAAAGTCTGCACAATTTCAAAAAATCGTCATAATTTTGCAAAAATTCATTTAACAATTAAAAAACATTACTAAATCTCCAAAAATTTGCACAATTTAAAAAATTCGTACAAGACGACCCTATTTTTTATGGTTTCAAAAATGTGTACTAATTGAAGACAACTGCATGATTCAAAAATGTTAACAATTAAAAAAATGTATCGCAATAACATATAAGAAAACTGAAAAATTTGACGGATTTTTTCAACTTTTTTGAAACTCTTAAAAACTGAAAATAATAAAAAATGAACAGGAATTTTGGAAATGTTATCCACAAATCTATCACGCTATGACTTTTCACTCTATCACGGGTGTGATATGAGTATAAATAGAGCTAATATTTAATTGTTGCTATCCTGTAAAATTACACGGGTTTCACTCAGTTAACGCGAAAAATTTCGTTTCAACCGTAATTTATACTATGTACATCTTCTTTGACAAAGGCTTCATGAATTATCGGCCAAATAAATTTAATTTATGCAAAATCCTGGTGACTCAGTACATAAGACTCCTCTCTCAGTTTTGAGGGTAATATTAATTACCCCTTATTTACTACTCGCACCTCATTTATAGAAGATATGTATATATGTATCTTATCCCTGGTATAGGAAAAATTAACATTTTCAGGCGTGACGTGACAAGAGGGGGGGGAGGGGTCACGACGAGCGTGACAACAGGGGTGGGGGGGTCCTAAAAAAGGGCTTTTTTGCGTGACATAATTTATGGATCACCCCTAAATAATTATTCTTCCGAATTTTACCTGATTTCCCCTCCGCTCCACTTCCGTCACTGAATAGACCACTTTCACCACCACGAATTCCGCCAGGGCGCAGAAAACCCACGAAATACAGCCGAAAACCCAGACGTCGACCGCTTTGACGTACGCGACCGGCGGAAATTCCGATTTGAGACCTTGCAGATGTATTTGCAAGCTGAGGATGCACGCCATCAGGAGATAACCTCGGGCCGCCGTGACGTCCAATTCCAGCCAAAAGCCGAACCAGGATAAGGCCACGATAAGCGTGGAGGGTATAAAGGATTGTACGAGATGGGAAGAAATTAATCGTTCAAAGCGAAATGGTCCGACGAGCTGGGAAACGTTTCCTGAATAGTTTTTATGGGAAATTTAACTATTTATTTAGAAAATTAAGGTAGAAATTAAATTCCTACAAAATACGCAAAATTGAGACAATATAAAAAAAATATAATATTTTCACATATTTTCCTTTTAGAAATTATAATTTCGGTTTTTATGAATTTTTTATTTCCAATTTATTAAGTATTAAGGACTTGTTTCATGAATTGTAAAACAATTTCGGAACTTAATTTGACTGAGGTGAATCTGAGCAATCCTTCAAGTTGTAAATTTCACATGAATTAAAATTCTCATGAAAAAAGCAAAATTATAATTTCCACAGAAAATGCGTAACGCTTTTCCACACGTGAAACTTTATTGTTTCATCTTGACGTAAGTTTTAACGAATTTTAAAAATCGTTTCTGGCCTTAATAATGTGACTCGGATTATCCTGCTCCATTTCAATAAGTTTAAAAATTCACAAAAATGAATATCCTGATCAAAAAAGCGGAATTATAATTTTTACGGAGTATGCTTATTCCACGTGTGAGTGGAATATTATATTGTTTTGAATGTGTTAAATCTTGACGTCCTCTTCATGAATTTCAAAAACTTTTAAATTCTTAACTTGACTCAGATGTTAAACGCCTCTTCGAAATTTAACCATAATTAAGATTTTCTTAAAAACCACAATTATAATTTCTACAGAGAATGCATTACGCTTTTTCCAAATGGGAATATTATATTTTTTTAATTAGTTAAATTTTGACGTCTTTTTCATGAATTGCAAAAAATTATCGGGGCTTAATTTGACTAAGATATGCTTGAAGAATCCGGAAATTTCGCAAAAACTAAAATTGTCATAAAAATCGAATTAAAATTTAGTGTACACAAAATTTTTTAAATTTATTAAAACGACGCCAAAATCTTAAAACTTTTAAAAATTAATAAAATGTTCACACGTGTAAAAAAAATTGTAACATAATTTTCTGGGTAAATTACAAGTTCAAATTATTATTTTTTTAGATTTCGAACTTATTTATTAGCGCAAAGTGTAACAGAATCTATAAGTCAAATGAAGTGCTGCAAAACAGTTCTTAAAATTATTGAAAAAGACGTCAAAGTTTAGCAAATTTGAAGAAGTTAAAACATTCACATTTATTTCAAACGTTTATAAGTTAATAAAGTAATTATGTAATTGCACAGTTCGCATACTGAATTTTCTTCAAAAAATTAGTAGAATCGTTGAGTCCTTAGAAAAGGGATAGAAATATGTTTATAAAATATTTTTCACTAAAAAACCGAATTATTTTGCAAAATTTTCAATTCAGTATAATTTCGCAAAGCTTTAAAGATTATTAACCCTTTAACTAAAATTCAGCATGAAAATTGTACAATTACATAATTTATTACTTTATTAACTTAAAAACATTTTAAAATGTGATTTTGTAAGTTTCTTTAAATTTGTTAAATTTTGACGTCTTTTCGTGAACGTGAAACATTGGTCTTAACTAAATTTAATTCAGATCTTCAGGGTCGATTGCCGCAAGGTGAAAATTTCACAACAATAAACACATTATTGTAAAAAATAAAAATTAGAATTACTACCGAAAATGCGTTTGAGTTTTTCAACACGTGAATATTATAATTTTTCGATTTTGTTAAATTTTGGCGTCTTTTTCATGACTTTCAAAAAATTTTCTGGGCTTGACTCACAATGTAGGTTTCCGAACTAAATATGCTCATAGATTTTTGATCACAAATATAATTTGCAAATTGCACTGTCTGCTAATGCGCAGATTTGGCGGAGATATTTGCACAAAAATCGGGGAAAAATGCTCAGCAAATTTGGAAAATGAAAAATTTACCAGCGTTTGGGGTGCGTTTTCTCCTTTTTTTTATGCAAATATCTCTGCTAAACTTGAGCATTGGCAGATAGTTCCATTTTCAAATTTCATACTAATTATATTTGTGATCGATTGGCACTAGTTTGGTCCAAATCTGTGAGCATACGTTGGGAGACCTCCATTGCCAGATTAGTCTGCTCCAATCTAGTTATAAATTTCACAAAAATTAAAATTCGTACAAATACAGAAATTATAATTTTTACAGGAAATTCGTTAGGCGTTTTCCTACGAATTTGTTAAATTTTATTTTGACATATTTTTCATGGACTTCAAACTTTGTTGCTTTGCTAAATAAATTTGAATCAGGTCCTCCTGATCGATTACAGAAAGTTGGAAATTTTACAAAGATTAAAATTCTCGTAAAAGCCGAAAATTTAATTACTACAGAAAATGCGTTACGCTGTTTCAACACATGAATAAACACATTTTTAAAATGTGATAATTGTAATTTCCTTAAATTTGTTAAATTTTAGCGTCTTTTTCATGAATTTCAAAACCTTTCTGCACTTAAATTGAATTAGATTAGAGTCACGATTCCTCCAAGTTGGAAATTTTCAAAAAAATTAAATTATCATTAAACCTAAAATATCATTTCTACAAAAAAAATGCTTCTTTCACTTTCTCCTGTCCATGAATATTTTTAATATTTTCGAATTTGTTAAGTCTTGACGTTATTTTCACTAATTTAAAAAATTGTTTCTAGGCTTAATTTGATTTAGGTACGCTTTCTCCGACTCCAAAGTTGGAAATTTCACAGAAATTTAAAAAAACGAAATTATAATTTCTTCAGGAAAATCTACGCTTTTTTCAGGTAGAAAAGGTTATATTTTTTTCGAATTTTTCAATTTTAACGTCGTTGTATTATATTTTCAAAATTGTTATTCTGTTTCTTAATTTCACGCAGATTATTCCCCATCATTGCCACCAAGTTGAACATTCCATAAAAAATTAAAATTCTCTTAACAAGCGAAATACCGAAAAAAAATTTCCACCTGTGAATATTTTTAATAGTTTCGAATTTAGACTTTGACGTCTTTTTCATGAATTTAAAAAAATTCTCCCCGCATCTCTTTTCATAAAGATTGTTATGTTGTCTGCAATTTTTGATGTGCAAAATGTTGGTGTGCAAACTTTCGATGTGCAAAATTTTGTTGTGCAAAATTTTCGTCTGCAAAATTTTGGTATGCAAAAAATTAACCGATTCATCGCATATCACGAGTACCTTGTAGCGGAACATATTCGAACCTCTTGTACGGTTGAATTTCCGGAATAACGACCATAAATTGGATCAAACGCATCGGCCGGATGTCAAACCCCCTCCACACAAATACCAATCGGTTCGTGTCATACGCAACTGTGGACACAAAATTGCAAAATTAATTAAATTCCAAAATTAATTATGCATATTTAACGTATTACTTATCGCCAAAATCGTTAAAATCAACACATTTTTAGTCATTTCTCGCCTCTGGGAATTTATGTAAAAATTAACGACTAATTTGAACGACTAATTTGCAGATCAGGTCATTGCAAATTTTTTAAACCTATAAACTCCAGATATTGACAATTTTTTTATGGATTAGATCTCACGTCTAAGAAGCCTTCAGAAAAATTGGAACTCGCCGAAACTAGCTTAAAAAACTCAACGCCATTCCATCAATCAACTCACTGCATACAAATACGTCGTCCAGAATTTTAAAATAAGTTCCCAGAGCCGAGGAATATTTAAAAATGTTAGCCAATTTCGATGAGCTACAATTTTTCTGAAGACTTCTTAACCTTGAGATCTCCTACTTGAAAAAGTTCTCAAAATCTGGCCTCCAGATTTTGGAGTGCATATTTTAAAAAAATGCTGTACAAATTTGTCATCCAGAATTTTAAAATAAATTCCCAGCGCGGAGAAATTATTAAAAATGCCTTGATTTTAACAGATTTTGGCGAAAAATTGTTAATTAATGCTCACAACTCTGCACCAGTATCGGACAGTACTGGACGTCCAACGGATAAAATTCAAAATCCATATCACACGCCACCGTGGCGTTGAGAATCATGGTGTAGGCGAGCGTGTGGTTCGCAAAAATTACAAGATTCGCCAACTTCCCGTTGAACCCTTTGATCCCGGTGAACTTGGAGTTGACCAAGTACGGGTCCGGGATCCAGATTTGGGACGCGAAACCGGGCGGCGCAATGACATAAGAGGTCGACGACGACGTATTCGTACAGGCGTCGGGGTCAACGGGGTCAACATCGTCGGGGTCAGGATCGGGGTCAACTAGACTCACGCGGGGATCAACCCAGGTCAACGTCCAGCGCATGTTGACCCGGAATTCGAGTTCCGACGTGAGAATTGGGGCGACCGTTTGGACGTAAACTTTCAGCGAGACTTCGACCGGATGTGGGAGTGGGGGGAAGGCTGGAAATTTTAATTTTAATTAAAATTTCATTTCATTACAATGTCAAAAAATGAAAAGTACATTTTTTAATATTTAAAATTTAGAAATTTTTAATTTGGATGGGAAACAGCAGAGTGAAAAACTTTATAAAATTATGGAAATTTTATAAAAATTTTGCACAAAAGTATAGTTCCTGTTGGAATGAAGACAATCTGTTGTGCCCGATAGCGAAACAAAATGTGAAACAAATTAATAACCAACGGTGTCAAAATTTTACAATTTTTTATATTTTAAGTCTGTCGACTTTGCAAACAGTGGATTGAAAAACTTTAGAAAATTGTGGAAACGATGGTAAAATTTTCGCATGCAAATATAATTCAAACCGGAACAAACAACATCTTTATCAAGTAATTGCGAAATAAAAATGTTTTAAAAAAATCATAACGGTGTAAAGAAATTACTATTTTTGATATTTTAACTTTATGGAGTTTTAAATATTCTGGATTGCAAAAAAATAGCGTCAAAAACGTTGTATGTAAAATCGTGGAAATATTTCTAAAATTTTCACATGAAAATATAATTGAAGCCGGAATAAAGTCTAATTAAAAAAAAAACTAAAAAAAATCTTACAACGATTTCAAAAAATTGCATCGTGTTTTTCCCATTTTTAATATAATTTTCAAAATTAAAAAAAACATCGCAGTTACCTTACCCTTATCATAATCCGCCGATAAGGTAACCCCACCCGCAGTTCGATTAAGACCGAGGCAAAAATGCTTATCCGACAAGGAGAATCCCAAGGTCAAGTAGGTCACAAGGACGGGAACTTTGCCTCGGTTTGGCATTTTACCCGGGTATTATTTTTTTCTCACAAGTATCCGACCATACCCTTCACTCCGACTGGACTGGACCATGAACCCAGTAGGACCGGGTAACTGCGATTCGTTATTGGTACAATATTCACCAAAAATTAATAACTACATATTTGCCCGAATCCTGATTTTACCGGATTATGCAAATTACCACGTTATGCAAATTACCCTTATCGATTTCGCATAATCGTAAAATAATCGATACCAAATCAATCAAGGTGAAGACAGAATTGCAGTTGGACCGATGTAACGTTATCAAAAATCATGTAAAATTTTTCAGACTCATAAATGCATTGTTGTCGACATGAGTTACGCCCACTAAATTTTAACATGTGGCGCAAATGGAGGCGTTACATCGTCACTTATGAATTGCCCTTAATATCAGAAAAAAATCAAATCAATGTTTGCCCAGACAAGTTATTTTTGCACTTTTATTACAACAGTAATCAACAAAAGGTATCAGATTGAGCACCAATTTAGTAGCGGACAATAAAATACGGACACAACCTTCCACAATTTTTTGAAAGAAAGAATGTTCCCAAATTTTTAAAAATTCTTGAAAAATGTGTCTTCAATTAATAGAAATTGATAAAAATGGAGGTCTCCCACCGTATGCTGTCCGATTTTGAGCAAATTAGTGTCAATCTATCGCAAATTTAATTAGGATAAAATATGCGCAAGGCACGATCTCCCAATGGGCACGTTTGGCAGAGATATTTGCATCCGAAGAGGAGAAAACGCGCAGGAAATTTGGAAAGTTTGTCGACTTTAAGGAGTGTTTTCTACTCTTCGGATGCAAATATCTCTGCCAAACGTGCCCATTGGGAGATCGTGCCTTTCGCAAATTGCATAGTAATTAAATTTGCCATCGACTGACACTAATTTGCTAAAAATCGGAGAGCATACGGTGGTAGACCTCCATTGGTTGAAAATAACCTAATAAATTTACTTAAATTTCGCGTAAATTTTGCAACTTGTGTATCATTTATTCTAAGGGTTCATCCATATCGACGAATGAGAGGGCGGGTTGAATACCGCAATCTGAAGAGTCTGAAGAACCTGAAGAATCCGAAGAATCTGAAGAATCTGATGAAACCGGGAGGGACGAAGCGTCCGGAAAGAGCTTGAAGCCGGAAGGACGACACGGAGGAAAGATTTCGATGCGAGCGTAAGGAAAGCGGACCAAGGCGTACAAAAGATCTTCAATCGGATCTGGAAACAAAAATTCGAGTTAGAATTTTGGGACATCTTTTTACTTGAAATTTTAGTAACGAAATTTTTAGAAATACTAGAAGTTGGCAAAAAGATGTAATTTCGAGTGTTTTGTTTCTTGCGGGTATGCTACTTTTTTGCAGTGCAAAGCAAGAAAACGCAAGAAATGCGAGGTGCAAAAAACTGGGAGAAAGTGCAAGAAATATGCGCCATCCAGCCACGCACAGTTTCAAGTATGTACCCAAAACATTGGAAATTTGGAAAATTTGAAAAATTTGGAATTACTTTAGTCAATAATTTTTCCCAAAAAGTTTCCACCCACCTTTCGCCCAGTTCGGAATCTCCTTCCCTTCCCGGTACGCCTTGGAGTCTTCCTTCCCCTCAAACTCGGTCAAAATCGAGTACGGAGTAATATCATAGGATGACGACTCCTTTCGAGATGACGCCGATTTTTCCCCACTTCCGGTCCCACTAGGACATTCAGTTTCATCAGCGGCAGCCTCCAATTCCTGCGCGAGCGAACGTGGCGTCGTTCTTGGCGTGACACTGGAGTCGTTTCGGGTCACAATTTTGTGAAACGGTCGTCTCGGCGTGGTCGCCGAAAGCGGGGGAAACAGCAGCGGAGACGAAGACGAGAACACGTACTCGGCTCGAGGGGGATCTTCCTCCTCGGAAAGTGTGAGACGTCGTCGTCGCCGAGTTGGTGTCGAAATTGGGGGTGGTTTGTCATCTTCGTTCTTTTGTTCATCCTCCTCCTCCGAAATTGGCGTGGGGGGAAGCTCCTCCTCCGAAAGTGTGAGTCGTCGCGGCGGAGTTATTGATGTCGAAATTGGTGGTGGCGGTTCATCCTCCCCCGCCGAAGTTGGTGTGGTGGGAACTTCCTTCTCCAACGTAGTGAGATGTCGTTGTCGCCGAGTTGGCGTCGAAACTGGGGACCGTTTGTCATCTTTATTGCTCGGTTGATCCTCCCCCTCCGAGATTGGCGTGGGGGGAAGCTCCTCCTCCGAAATTGTGAGACGTTGTCGTCGTCGCGGTGGACTTGTTGGCGTCGAAATTGTTGGTGGGGGTTGATCCTCCCCCTTCAAAATTCTGGTGGGGGGAACTTCCTTCTCCAACATGATGTCACGTCGTCGTCGCCGAGTTGGCGTCGAAATTGGTGGCGGTTTGTCATCATCTTTCTTCCTTCGTTCGTCCTCCTCCTCCGAAATTGGCGTGGGGAGAGACACCGGCGTTAAGGGTCGCATTGACGGAACGTTCTTAGGCTTTAGACCGATTCTTGGGGAGAAAATGCGTGGCCGGAAGAGGGACGAGGATGGAGTTATCGATCCGTGGATGATTTTTCTCGCGAGAACGACAGGATCTGGGGTCGGTGGGGTGGAAAAGATGGGGGATGGTGGTAGTGGAGGGGCTGGATTTGAGTAAATAATTTAGGAGTGGACCGGGTTTAAAATTAGGATTGATAAGAACTTACCCGACTGTCGTAATATCGGCGATGAATCTGGTGGACGATCATTTTGTGGATCTGTTGGTTTATTTTCTTTGTCTTTGCGATCCTCTAGAAAATAAATTGGGTGAGTGATAAGATGGGTGGATAAGATGAATAAATGATAACAACTTACCCTCCACTTGAGCAAAAGTGACCTTCTTTTCGCCACATTTTCGTCCTCTTTTCGCACTCTTGCTCTTTTCCAGACTCTCAACTGCAAAGATAAGAACAGATATTTGATAAGATCCGAAATTGAAAATTTTATGTCGTAAATGATAAACAACTTACCCTCCACATATTCAGCTGTGGGATTAATACTAACAGCTAACTTATCTTGGCAACGTTTCCGTCCTCTTTTCGTACTCTTATCTGAACTCTCAACTGCAAAGATAAGACCAAATATTGGATAAGAACCCACATTCTAAATTTTCTCTCGTGAATGATAACAACTTACCCTCCACCTGTTCAATTTTAGGAGGGGCAGCAAAAGGGACCTTATCTTCGCAACGTTTTCGTCCCTTTTTGGCACGTTTGCTCTTATCTGGACTCTCAACTGCAGAAATAAGATTATTGTGATTGATAACAGATATTTGATAACTACCAAAATGCCAAATTTTCTCTCGTGAATGATAACAACTTACCCTCTCTTTGTCCAACTTTATCAGGAAGAGCGGCCTTCTTTTCGCCACATTTTCGTCCTCTCTTCGCCCTCTTGCTCTTTTCTTGACCCTCAACTGCACAAAGCAAAGATAAGATCAAACTTTTGATAAGAACTGATAAAAATCTAAATTTTCTCACCTTGAACATGACCACTTTTCACATCGTCCTTCGTTTCCTCCACTTTCGCCTTCTTCTTCGCCACCCGTTTGGATTTCGATCGTGAAGACGGCCCCGCTGCTGGATTTCGCTCAATTACGTCGACAGTTGTGGTCTTCGTGGCCGCGGCGGCGGTGATGCGACGTGCCCCTGCTCGAGTAATGACAACCATGATGATAAGTAGACCAGAAATTTGGCGAAAAGTTACTATTTTTTGCGAAAAAAAATATTCCTCCCCAAAAATTTTCCATTTATTTATTTTCAGAGAAGAAAATTTTGCCCACAATTTCCCTGCCAACTTGTGGAAAAAGTATCGAGAAAATTCAGAGCGAATGTTCCCATTGTTCCCAGTAGGAACTTGTCTTAAAATTTCAGGCGACAAATTTGTACGCAGTGAGTTGATTAATGGATTAGCGTTGAGTTTTTTGAGCCAGTTTCGAACAGTTCCAATTTTTCTGAAGGCTTCTTAACCTTGAGATCTTCTCCTTCAAAAAGTGTCAAAATTTGGAGTGTATATATTTTTTTAATCGGCAACTCCCTGCTCTACAAATTTGTCGTCCAGAATTTTAAAATAAATTCCCAGATGCGAGAAACAATTAAAAATGTGCTGATTTTGACGATGAGTCCTACGTTAATATAGGTGTTTCTTATTTCACCAAGTTTGTTACCTAATTTTGCAAAATTGCAAAAATGTGGCAACAAATTTGCAACGTCATGCTCTACAAATTTGTTGGCCAGATGTTTAAAATCTGTTGGCTAAGCTAAAATGCGGATAAATGATTAGAACTGTGCTGATTTGAGTCATCTACTCCTCCTACATTAATCAGAAATACGGCCACGACAATTAACAATTTCGACCGATAACAAAATCGGATTAGGATCATGCCCTGACGACGACATGAACATGCAGTGATCAAGGACCTCGATAGAGACATGGCTGCAAATAAGGTTTACTTTGATAAGTTGGAAAAGTCCGGTCTCTGCAAGGACTTGAACTCCCAAAATAAAGAAGATGACGCCAACCAAGCGGAATGCCCAGCCTATTGGAAAGGTATGTTGTAGCTTTATATATATACATACATATTTATATTTACACAAGCTGCAGAGGTACGACGAGGGCAAAATGCTTTATCAAAATTTCGAAATTTCGGTTATCCGATTCAATTCAATTCAACATTTATTCGAGTGTTAATGGATATCAGGTTACAAAAAAACTGGTTTGAAAACCATATAAAATCTATAAAAAGCAATAAAAATGAAATACAATAAAATAAATACGAGTCTCATAGGTCCGAAAGTCGGATCACCGACTCAACTCCTCTTTTTTGCCTTGCAGGAAAATTTTGTTACTACAGTAAGGACGTCACGAAAGGTGGCAGCGGATGCGGGGATGAAGATAATGCCCGTCGTTTCGGACCCCTTAACCAGTGCGGGGATGAAGATGACTCGTGTAGATGTGACAGGGAACATCAGAGAGACGAGCAAGGCCAACAACGTGAATGATGCGTCCAAACTCGTCGTCGTCGTCGTCGCCCTGCTCGGCGTCAGCTACCTCGTCCAACGCCACTTCGGCAGCGGTTTCTGAATCAAGGCGGCAATCTGATAAGCGATGCGGTTATCAGGGATAAATTCAGATTTGTAAATGTGTAAATTGTGAATGCCATCCTTAAATTGAACGAGACAAACACACGCTCACATTTTTCCACGTATGAGACTAAATTTTTGATAAATTATTACAATTCCTAGTGCAAATTTTTTGCACATTTTTGCACTTCATACTATTTATCGCTCAGCAATCTTTGAATTGACATATGTATGTAAACAAATATGTATATGCTAACATTTTTCCGCTTATGTGCCTAAGTTTTTGATAATTTATTACAATTTTCACCGAAAATTTTTTGCACACATTTTTTGCACTGCATACATATTATTTAATTATCGATCAGCATCCACTTCATACAGAAATTTCTGCCCTTTGATCAATTTCCGATTGTAGCTCGTACTCTGAATAAAAACTAAATACTTGTCGGAATCTTTCGGACTCTGTTTTCCCACCTTGCCCGCCTCTATCCCGGAAAATTCCCGGGCAGCGGCCCACCCCGTGTAAAAATCCCCGGAGGTCTTATCCATGAGAACGATTTCCTTCTTATCGGAAACATTCTCGGGTTTCGTAAACTGATAAAACCCGCGCCCAACTTTGAAAACGAGGCCGCGGTCTTGCGCAAAATCCTTGATGGATTGGTCCTCATCGACGACCAGGACTTGGAAGCGGCTCGGACTGACGGGCAGCAGACCGGAAGCGGACGTGACAGAAGTTGCCGTTTTTGTACTTCGACCCCTTAATTGGTCGAATAATCCTCGTAAATTGTTCACCATTCGTCCCGCCGTGGATAATTCGTCTTCAAATTGTGCGAGTCGATTCTAAGAAAGGAATGAAGGAATTATATAAATGTGTAAACTGTACAAATTTTACAAAATTTCGGAATCAAATTTTTCCAGAAAGATTTTCAATTTAAAAGTTTGTATCTTAATAATTTGCTAAGTTTTAATTGTCGTGAATCTGCGATAATTGTGAAACTCAATTAAAAACTAACTCCACGCAAGCTTTGCACTTATGTTTAGCATAGTAAACTTTGCATAATTTTACAAAATTTCCGGAGTCAAATTTTTCCAAAAACCTTTACAATTTAAAAGTTTGTATCCCAATTTTAATTCATGTGAAACCGTGCAAATTTTGTAAGGTGAATTTAAAATTTAACCCAAAACTAGTGTTATATAAAAGCTTAACGCAAGTTAGCACTTATGCGGAGCACAGTAAACTTTGCAAAATTTGGCAAAATTTCAGAGTCAAACTTTCCTCATAATTTTGCAAACCTACGAAGAACAAAATTCCTTAGAGTATTTAATAATAATAACTAGAGTAGAAAAGCCCCCAAAATCAACAAATTTTTCTGTTCCGATACAGAGAAAAATAAGGGTGCAATAATTTTCGGTGGCAACAAATCTTGCATAGTTTCACAAAAAAAATCATGTAAAAATTTGGATTTCGGATGAAATTTCCTAAATATATTTCTGGTACGCACTTTTCCTGACACTAAAATTATTTAGTCGTATTTCTACGCTCGAAATGGGGAGAAAAAGGTGCAGTAACTGCATGTCGAACAGCGCCGGACACAACTCTATCTTTCTTCCGGTATTGGAAACAAGAAATGTCAGTAAACATTGGTCATTAAATAGGATTCTTCCAGGTTCCCCAAAGACGAAAAAGAACGCCAAAATTGGATACATTTTGTACGAGTGGCCAACCAGATTTCTGACTGGACTCCAACACAAAACTGCTTTATATGTTCTGATCACTTCCGGGCTGGCTGCTTTCAAATATGCGAATCACGAGCTAGAGTGCAAAAGGGTCATTATCCAACCTTGGCAAACGGAAATGAAATCCCAAATGTAAAATTAATATCCATATTATTAATTATATAGCTCTCTGTAATCAATCACGTATTTCAGGAGAATATATGTACGGTTGTCGAATCAGAAAATTCGAACTTGTCGGATTGCGTGAAGTGTTCTGATCTTCAAGCACTGATAGAAATAATACAAGAAAATCTAGCAGCTGCGCTGAAAGGTTGGGCGTTGTGCAGGTCGAAGCTTACCTCAGCGGTACAAGAACTTCATACGCTAAAGCAGAAGGAACGCAGATCCCAATTAAAACGGAAAAATGATTCCTGTCATTCAGAAAAGAACCTGGAGAAAAAATTCAAAAGTAATGCTACTCAAACCACCGTGACAAAATTTCGCAACTCTGAATTATCTGGGATTCTTGTCGAGCTACTTAATTGTCACTCAGCTCACAAATCTGCTAAGTATACCGAAGCGGTCAAGGAATTTAGCCTAAATATGCACTATTATTCAGCTAAGGCATATGATTTTCTGAGGAAGTCCGTTGGGAATCAACTTCCTCACCCACGAATTTTTCATAGTTGGACAAAATTCATAGATATTCGTCCCGGTAATTAGTTGCACTATTCAATTAATATTTAGCAATTTGTTGACAATTTATATATCCAGGTTTTATCAAAATTAAGATTAAAAAGACAATCAATGGGGAAGTTACCGTTACGGAAAAGTGGATTTTGCTTAAAGATTCTAGAGTACTTGCGTCAAAGGCTTATATACTTGCATATCAAGTATTGAGTTGCTTCTGAATGATATGTCGTCTGGCCTAATTGAATTGTCGTAAGTTTTCTCAAGATGCTCACAAAATTGGCAGGAGAATGACCATGACTTATGCAATTTTTAGTTATCTTCCGGTCTACAAATTGTGCCAAGATGCAATTGAAATCTTCTTCTCTATTATACGATCACGATTTGGAAATAATAATAATCCTAATTCTATGCAACTTGAATCAGCCTTGAAGAGAATAATATGCACGAATATTAAACCAAGCAGCACTGGAAATTGTAATGTGGAGGATGAATTTTCAACAAATATATGTCCATTGGGAAGAATTTTTGAGCATGTTGAGGCGGAAGAAGACGAGGAAGATGAAACACCAGAAATACCGGACACTATTATTTTATCGCAATTTGTCAGTAATGTTGTGGCCTATATTGCTGGGTTTGTGGGCCGATCCTTATTTAGAAAAATTAGCTGTGCGGATTGCATTGCGGCATTGGTGCCTGAAGATATGTCTGCAGTCAAATCAAGATCTGACTTTGTACTTATTAATGAAAAGAACAATGGAGGACTATTTATTCCATCAGCCGACTTAATTAAGATTTGTGATATCACTGAAAAAGAAATTCGAGCCTGCAAATTACGTGGATTATCCGAAGTAAAAATGAAAAATATTGTTGATAATGTCGTAAAAAGGAGTTCAAGATGCCAGCTATTTCAAAAGCTTCGAGTTACAAATTCATTATCGCATTCATTATTTGGTGACCATGTGATAGCCCTTATTCGTAAAATTTCAGAACAATACACAAAAGTTCGCCTTCATTATATGGCAAAGGAAGCCACCTTAAAAATTTCTCCCCAGACTAATCGAAGTGTATGTACGAAGTCTGTTCACTTTCAAGGAAATTAATCTTGTGTTTAATTTCTACATAATTTAATTATAATTTGGTCATTTAGTTATACGATGCATGATGTAGGGGGGTTTATTAAGTATTTTTTGACCAGAATTAAATATTTTTTTGAAGCTATGTGAGATTATTGTTGTTATACAAAATTATTGCACCCTTATTTTAGTCTGTATCGGAACAAAAAAGTTTGTTATTTTCAAAATTTACCATGGGCTTTTCCACTCTAGTTATTATTATTAAATACTCTAAGCAAAATTCTAATTCACTCGAATATACATATGTAAATTTGCAAACACTTGTGTTTGCAAAAGTAAGTTGTAACTTAAATTTTTGAAATAAAACTAAATTCACGCAAACTTCGCACTTATGTGTGGAAAAAGTTTGTAAATTTTACAAAATTTCGGAATAAAATTGTCCTTACAATTTTTACGACTACAAAATTTGAATTCACGCGAATCTATGTAAACTTTATAAACAGTATTTAAGTACCTGCTGTGACCCTCCCGCATCCGCATTGTCTCCTTCATGGTAACAAACCGCGACCAAAAAGTCCGTAACGCTCGAGAGCTGATGCAACCTTAAGTGAAAGCCTAGCGTAACGCTGGCCAGTTCCCGGTAAAAGAAGTCCGCTCTCGATTGGTCCAACGCTTGTACGGCGTAGACCCGAATCCCCGCCTCCTTCAACTTTCCCGCCTCCACCCGCCAATCAATTTTACCCGGGTTATCCCTCACTTCATGCGGAGGGGCATCCCCGATCAGCACGAGCGACTTGTTAGCCCCCTTCGTCCAGTCGAATTTGCTCCATACCTGGTCAAAAATTCAGTTTTCTTTCAAAAGTTAGTCATCCCGATTTCTGAATTTTCATTCACATTCAGTCATTTTCGTTCAAATTCATTACATTTCACTTCACTTCATCGGACTTCATTTCTTACTTCGCCCCATGTATAGGATAGGGTGAAGAATGAAATGAGTGAAAAATCCATTCATTCATCCGAATGCGAGGGACCAACCAATAATTCTTTCAATCATTTTCATTCAAATGTCAGGAAATTCATTTTCATTCAAATGTCAGGAAATTAATTTTCCTTCAGTATTCTCATAATCAGTAAAACTAATGAAGGTGAACAGGTATAACAAAAATCCTTTCATTCAATTCGAAATGACGGAATCCGTCAGTCATTTTCATTCAAATGACAGGCAATTCATTTTCATTCATTATCACAATAAGTAAAATGAATGAATGAATGTGAACAGGTATATAATTAATTTGTTCCATACGTGTCGCAAGACGAGTTCGTAACACTCCGGAAAATCTCCGCCATACGTGGACCCTACATTTGTGACGAAATCGATTAGCGTGGCAACGTCCGGACCGGCGCAGAATTTATACCCGTTCGCCGCCTTGATCAAGTAGTTACTCCCTTCGTCGCAGTAATCGCCATGGGCCAGGATTCCGATCCGGATGGAGGGAATGTTGGTCGTGAGGCGGGACAGGGTGTCGCGAATGACGGACCGCACCGTGGACAGGCAGGGATACATGCTGCCCGTCGTGTCGAAGGAGAAGACGATTTCGACCGTGGCGGAGGCGTCACCTGGCGGGAAATTTATTTATTTTATTAAGGTGCCATAACTCCGGCATAGATTTTTAGTCTCACTCTACCCCTGTTCAATTACCGTCCAAGTAAATATTTTTTTACCGACAATGGGGACGCAAACCATGTTCAACCCAGATTATTTTTTGCCCACCTCAGTTTGAAATAGTAACTCTTGAGAAATTTTGTTTCAAATTTTGAGACATTTTGCTCGGCACTTGTAGATTCGAAAAATTCAGCAGGTTTTGAGTCCCGCAAGTTCGCGAAAATTCCCCGTTTTTACAGCAGTTGTGCGTTTTCGCGAACTTACGGGGCTAAAAAGTTGCTAACATTTTCACATCTGTAAATGCCGAACAAAATTTCAAACAACAAGAGTTACCATTTCAAACTGAGATGGGCAAAAAATAATCTGGGTTGAACATGGTTTGCGCCCCCATGTGAGCATTTTTACAAATAACTTATTTTCTTTAAATTTTGAAACTGAATATTTATGAAAGTTTAAGGATTTTACAAAGTTACCAAGAACGCGTGAATTGCCAAAACCGTGATTGGTCATCGAATCCTACCTTAATATACGTCCTTCTAATTTTCTTACCTGAACTAACTGGAGTCGAACTTGGCCCAGATGACGAAATTGTTACGGGGCGTGTCGGCGATACGGTTCGCCCCCTTTTGGCCGGTGGTCCATCGGAACTTGGTGGCGTCACAGGTCGAGGGACGCTACCAGGAACTTTTTTATACAGGAATGTCGTCCCTCCAATCAAATTTCGATTGTAGCTCGTGGATTGCACAAAAATTTTGAATTTCTTCAAAATTTCAGCGTCAATTTCATACTTTTTCTTATTTTTCTTATTCTTTCCCTCCTCCAAACCCAACACTTTTCGAACCGATTTCCCACAAATTAACGTTCCCGGATCGGAAATTCGTTGCACTAGGATTTCCTTCGTGTCCTGAATCGTTTCCGGTTTTGATAGCTCGTAAAATCCGGAACCTTTCGTAAATGTAAGGCTTTTCGATTCTATGAAAGTTTTTATGGAAATTTTACTATTTTCGTTTCCCCCAACACGGACAGATTCGAATTGGTTGAGGGAAATTGTGTCCATTTTGATTAAATAATTGTGAATTTGGCAAGGTTTAAACTTTAAGCGATGTGCGAAATGGAGTTTCACTGAAGTATGTATTTATTTGCGAATAAAATAATGCAAAATTAATTGCGAATGTAAAGAGACAATTGAATGATTAATTGTGAATTTTGCACGGTTTAAAATACGATTGATGTACAAAAATCGGGCTACACCGTAGTATGTTTATTGCGAATAAAATGATCTGTAAAACACGACTGATGTGCGAAATCGGGCTAAACCGAAGTATTTATACATATGCATGTATTGCGAATTGCGAATTCTGAGTAATCTGCAAAGTGAACAAGACAAGACTTGTGCATGGCTACGAGACGAATCAGTCATACGAAAATCAAGGTCTCTTTTTGTAATGGAAACATGTAACAGGCAAAGATTAGATTAGATGACATGAAGCAGCACAGGTTACAACGTGGTTTCGCATGTATGAATTTTTTGCAAGGATTGTATTGTGTATACAAAAGTATATCGCGTCAAATGATTTGTGGCTGCATGCAGTCAATTTCAGTACTCCAGTCTCATCAGGTATTGAATTTACTGTATTATTTATTTATCATATTGCGATAACACCTCAAAAACTTACAGTTTGAAAAGAATTATGTACATATATCATACCCAAATTAATACGCTTTACTTTCATTCTAGAATTACTTTCATACATTTTTATAAAATTCAAATAAAATTCAAGTTCTTATATGCAAAAATAAATTCTTAATTAATAAATATGATAAGTAAAATAAGTAATTATAAATTCTTAATTGTTATATTAATATAACATGTTTTAGAATTTGAATTTTATTTGAATGTAATTCTGGTTGTATGTAATTCAACCAGAATTACATCTGAATTAAAATATATGTACATATACATATATGTATACTTACTTTTTCCACCGGAATTTTGGTGTGACTATTACGGCATGGCATGACTTCCCCAGCAAACTTTTGTTGGGAACAAGGTTCGATTTTTATTAATAATATTTTCAAGTTCAAGTAGTAGGGTAATTATTCCTGGGAGAAATTGGGAACTTTAAAACTTTTATTTTTTCTAAATTCGGAGTCTAAAAGGCTACGAAAAAGGAGTACATATCTCAAGAAATTCAATAATGTTATCTAATCAAAAGTTTATTATTTTTAAACGTATTTTTTTTACATTAATTATTAACCAGGTTTAATCAATTATCAATCAGATTTTTCTGCCTCGTCCGCAATCTTCTTTGCATTTTTTTTATGATACGTAAAAACTATCACTAATTTCGTTAAAAGCTTTAAATCATCAAATCAGATAATATTATAATATTAGTTTTTCACAAATACATTTTCCTAAATTTCCAAATTTCGACATATGTCTTATTTTATTTAAATACAAGCCAATTTAAGTTAACTTCACATTTGTCACATTTACATACATATTATCGATAAATTAGCATATTATCATACATGACAGATTAATTAATAAATTGGTATAAAATAACTTTATAAATCTACACAGCAATATTAACTTACCTACAATTAGCCATACGGTGCGGTTATAATGAGAAAAATCTTATTTATATGTTTAAAGAGCCGAATTATTATTTAGATCAATGGGAAGCAAAAATATTATGAATGTGTAAATTTTATCCTCTTTCATGAATAAAATAATGGTCAAACATTAAAAAATCATAACTATTTAAATTTTCTAAGACAAATTGCTTACAATACAAATCTTTTAAGTGCCAGGGGTATCGGATTGTACTTAGCTGGTTTACAATTAACTCTCTCACAATTGCATACAAAAGTGCTTCATGATGGAAAAACTTGTTACACTATCAATTTTGTGTAAATACAATTGTTGTCAAGAATTATAAAACAGGTTACAAAACGTGCAGTGATATTATTCAATAATTAATTAATTAATTTCGTGCCATTATGTAATTAATAGTACATACGTTAAAGTTCTGAAATTTAGATTTTAAATTATCGTTTTGCGTCACCTATTTTTTCAACATGGTATCCGTCTCTTCATCAGCGGCTGACGATGACCCTGATTCGTTGATGATGACGCATTTTAAGGAGTCATGAAAACCCATTCCAGAAACACGGGCAGCGGTCATGGCCTAGAAATAAAATAAGGTTTTGGATAGTACAACGTCGATGTAAAAGTGGATATTTGAAAATCGTACCATAATTGTTCTAACCTCCTCTACCGGGTGATCGATGAGTTCTGAGGCATTTAGTTGAGATTCGGGGGCGAGCGGGTGATTTTTTTAGTGAAAACATCCAGCTTTCCGTGTTGGGGATGCGGCATCCTATTATTGTGTGGATTTCTTTTCTAATTAGTTTGCACAACTCGTCGAGGGGCTGGAAACATCAATAATCAAAGAGTTTATTGTGAAAGATTCAGCAAAATTTAATACTTTAATTAGCACAAAATTTAATGAAAAACGGTATCGTTTTTTAAATTGCTAAGCGGCTCGAAAAAAGTGACGCAGTTAAATTTTTTTAAGTTAAATTCCCAAACCGAGTGGAGAATTTTAATTAGCTTTATAACCTATTGTAAATGTAGAATCCCATAATTATCCTTAATAATTAAACAATGTAATTACCAAATCGTTCGCATCATATCCGAAAGGATTCTCAATTTCTCTCCCAATTCCTATAGTTGCATCAATTGTATTTACGTAATATTATTTGACACTTTATCATTCTATGGGGCACCATCCCATAGAAACGGTGTCAATTAATCGTGGTATTTATTTATTTTTTTTATTACCCAAAATTCGAAGCAAAGCAAATGACGCCAGGGTAACGGCAGGGATGGTAAACCAATCTAGTACGCCAACCATTTGGTAGGGGAGAGAGAGTAGATAAAGCCACACGGCTTGATGCAAATGGACAGAATAAGCGAGTGGAATGGGTGTTCTGAGGATACGTTCAAGACCTGTAACACATTCCACAAGGGTGGTCAGGGCTGGAAGAGAGAATAATTCAAAATTATTGGTCGCATATGCAAATATCATGGTTACATCTCGTAAATACATATAATTTTTTAAAATCCAAATATTACACATTATATTACTGCACTGTTAAAAATCTGGTATAGACCACGCAGGTATTGATCGTTATTAAAGCTGCTACCGATTGGTATTAAAATTATTCCATACAAATTCGCTATCGATATGGTAAAAACCCGAATTATCACTACACGATATTTGAACCACTTTATATATGAATACCTCTTGGTATTATTTTCGTACTGGATTTATAAGTGTGCACAACACCAATACATTACATAAAAATTAAAAATATGTATGGCTGTGCACGTTTCCGAGAATAATTTCTGGAGACGTCCAAACTCGCCATTGAACTGCACACATATTTCTAAGTGAACATGGCAGCATAATAAAATGACTAATTGACGAGTTAATTATGTAACTGTTAACTAATTAAGTTACTTACCATTATTCATCAAAGTTAGGGAGGAAGGGTCGATGATGTCGCGGTCTTTGACACTTTTGATGTAGGAAGCGATATAATAGCTCAATTCGATGGGGATGTTGGTCGTCAGCATAGTTTCGCCGATAAACGTTCCCTTCGTATCAAGGGGTTGGTTTAAGCTCTGGTTAGAGAAGTGGGGGATATGTCCGATGAGTTCTTTTAAGTCCTGTGAAGAGAGGATTTTTATTCATATAGATTGCCAATTAGGGAGGTAATTTCATACGAAGACTTGGTTGAAACTTTATGCAAAGATTTTCTTTTCAAAATATTACAATTTTCGTCACTTTTAAGGATAATGGGTGTCAGTCATGAATCATGACTGACACCCATTATCATATCATGAGTCATGATATATTTTAATAAATAAAGAATTTATAATAAAACCAACAAGGCATAGTTGTTTACCAAAATTTACCAAAATCTCTTTAGAAGAGATTTTGGTGATATTTTTTTAAATTAGGAAAATTAACCAAAAATTGTCAGTTACAAAATTTATTAACGTCTTAATAATCTTAACGTTAATAAATTTAATTTAAATTTATTAACGTCATTAATTAATGTAAATTTTGTAGCATAATTTTTGGTAAGCCTTTTGCAAAGCAACAAATTTATGTGAATACCCCCAAAAATTAGTGTATTTTGTTACATCTTTATCATAAGAGTATTCCTCTCGGAGGTAGTTTTTGGTTGCGTAAGCAAATGCGAGCAATAGGTTAATTGCGGAAGCTTTCTCCACGACGTCTTTTGACTCATGTCCTTCAGTCTCCCTCACCATGACCCAAATACCGGGTCAAAGTCTGAAATGTAAAACAGTATGGAATAATATTAAGAATTTTAATGAATTTAAAGATTTGTAGCCAGCTGAATGAATTAATTAATTCTGCATCAGCTTTATAATAACACGTATTATTGCGAATACTTACTCGAATAGCGAGGGTCATAGTGGACCAGATTTTTCGACCTTCCCAGTATCTGAAGATGAAAAGTATGACGAATTTAATACCAATTTGGAATAAGACTACCTACGACATTTGATTATTTGCCAAAAGATCAATGGCGTAAATCTCTGCAATTTAAAAAAAAAAATTTTGGCGGACAAGTACGGATTGGACTAGTAAGAAATAACTAACTAATAATTATTTTGCATATTTTACAAAAAAATCATATGTGCTGATTTCTTAGTCAATAATTTAAAATTGTAAAATCCAATCTATAAATTGTCCAGTTTTTCACATTCCACATTTTTATCTCCATCTTATCCTCATCATCATCATTTAAATACACCAACCTATCGTAGGCAGTGTTGGTCCTGAAGACTAGCAGCAAACCGGTCACCACGCCCAAAACTGGAAACGTTTGGGGCAAGTTCATCGTTAATCCGTCGACATATTTGTGGATGCAAACTATCGCTCCGGTATAGACTGCGATCATGAAGATCTGCAGCCATATGTTGAGGATCACGGTTCCTCTTAAACGGAACATGAAGGGTCGAGCAATCTTGACTTATCGCACTCCAATTAAATTGGGAAAAAACAGAAAATCTCAACTTTACCCCAGTTTATTAACACTTTTATAACTTAATCCCTGTTTGCCTCTTTACGTATCCTCACCACGACGCAACTTTAGCACTCTTTATCTGACAGATATTTCACATACACATGTAACATTGTTGAAATTTCGTTAAAAAATTTCTAGCCAGACAGTTATGAATTACACCGATCACAACCAAAATCTCTGTTAGCAAATGATAAAATTTGTCTCACCAGTTACCACATAAATTCACAGATAATTCAACCTTTGCCAAAAATTGTGCAGATGATACATAATTTAGATAAACTCGAAATGTTATTTGCTCGTTACATATATGTATTGCATTATGTATATCAGAAATTTTCATTAAGAAAGCGAAGTTTGATCATTACGTAAATAAGTAATCCTGCGATTCAATCACCTATAAAATGTTATTATTACTCAAACTTGTCCTATAATGGAGGTCACCCCTTAGAATCTTACATTTTGATAGACTTAGTTGCAATCAATTATAAATTGGAAAAGCATTTCATTATCCACCAATGTGCAGATGTGGCAAATATATTTGCATCCGAAGAGGAGAAAAGCTACCTTAAAGTTGATAAATTTTACACTTTCCAAATTTACTGCGTGCTTCCTCCTCTTTGGATGCAAATGTGTCTGCCAAATCATTAGCAGATGTCATACCAATTAAATTTAAATTCTAAATTAAATTTAGCTGTCTGGCTAGAAATCGTTTAACGAAATTTCAACCATGTTACACGTGGATATCCCCGGAGTAGAAATGTCGCAACCGTTTTCTGCCACAATGTAAGACAACTAAAAACTAAAATCTCAATTATTTGTGATAAGTTAAAGTTACATACATGCATGTTGATTTTCAGCTTTGGAAGCATTTAATTGTGATGAGCATATATGAAAGAAAAAAATATCGGCACCATGATTCATATGGTATTCTTTTTAATAATCAATCACCATAAAAATTAGAGTATGCGTGGTTGCAAAATCAAAATTGAGGCGGTTCCACAGCAGTTTCGGCAAAACGCAAAGTGACAACTTTCATAATGCGTGGAATTGCTATTACAATGTATTTTGACGGCACGATCGCTAAAGTACTTACAATGGAGGTCTCCCAGCGAGTCCTCTCAGATTTTGACCAACTAAACTCCGTTTCACATTACGCGAGTTATTATAAATAATAAAATAATTCGGCTTATTCGGGTAATGTACACAATGTGATGAACTCACGTAATTTGAAACGGAGTTTAGTGTTAATTGATCACGAATTAATTAGGACGAAATTTGCAAAAGATACTATCTGCCAATGGGCACGTTTGGCAGAGATATTTGCATCCGAAGAGGAGCAAATGCGCAGTAAATTCGACAAATTTTACACTCTCCAAACTTACTGTGTGGTTTCTCCTCTTGGGATGCAAATATCTTTGCCAAACTTGCCCATTGGTAGATCGTGTCTTTCGCTAATTCATACTAATTAGATTTATGATCGATTGGCACTAATTTGTCCAAAATCGGAGAGCATCCGCTGAGAGACCTCCAATGCGAGTAGGATTCTTGTCAGAATTTCCCAGCTTGTGCTCTCCGATTTTGAGCAAATTAGTGTAAATCGATTACAAATTTAAATATTGCGAAAGACACGGTCTCCCAGTGGGCACTTTTGGCAGAGATATTTGCATCCGAAGAGGAGAAAACTCGGAATAAATTTGGATAGTGTAAAGTTTGCCTAATTTTGGGCACTTTTTCTCCTTCGCGGATTCAAATATCTCGGCTAAATGGCAGATAATGTCATTTGCAAATTTCATGCTAAATTTGTGATCGATTGACACAAGTTTTTCCAAAATCGTAGAGCATACGATGGGACACCTCGATTGTGAGTGTATATGCTTCTAGTCATACAAAACAGGGTGATCAAACTCGTATATGCATAAGTACTATGGGCCACAGACGCCACAGTGAACGTAAGAAGAGTTGGTGAAAGGCAAAAAAGGGTCTGTGAGACACAGTATGAGTTTGTATATCTAATTCAAATCTGTGGTGAGATACTACGTAAAAAATTGAAACTTTGCCACAATGTGAAAGACATGAATAGAAATTTTTTCCCCATAAAATTATTCGATATTTGTGACTCATAATTACATGTCGGTGGTCGGATATCAAACAACTTTGTTTTAATAAAATTACATTGTACAATTTTGCATCGATTAGTTAAAACATTATAATCGTAATTATCCGTACGCGACTTATTTAAAAAAGTTTGCATATTATGGACAGACTGCGGATATGCATTTCTTTTCAAGTTTTTCCCTTGATGGTGATCCACTGCAAAATTTGCAAAATTTTGTGGGTGCGCTATGCTCTCTAACTCCTTTAGATCATTTGATTCATTTCCCTAACTGATTTGATTTATTCCCGCTAATATTTGAAAAATACATATACTAATTTTTTTCAAAAATATACACATTTCGTAAAGATTTCAACGATACAAAACAAGAAATTTTTTGTCAGAAAAATACAATACGACTACAAAAAATCCTACCATTATGGTAAGAAATACGAATTTTACGAAAATGTTATATTCTGATGATTTTTTCTTACATATTTTGGCGTTTATTTAGTAATTCCGAAATACATATTTCAGAGATTTTTCGTAAATACATATCCGCCCTGTGATTATGACCGACTTGAAGAACATAAAGTAAGTACTTTTTCGTCCTGTCAAAAAGCCCGTAAAGCATTGTAATAAGCAGCTTCAAATTTTATTAAGTTTTCACTTTGCTCTTCGCCGAAGCAGTGTTGTGCAATCCTAAGTACGATTTTATAACCACGGTTTGCCAATTATATAAGGTGATGGTTTTGATACATAAATGGCAATTAAATAGTCCTTTGGAAACCGGTAACAAAATGTGCACAAGAAAACAAACATGATTAATAAATTTATATGGGTTAGAAATACATATAGATGACCTTATACTGAAGAGAGCATTTTTCTGAAGAGAGTTACTTGTCTGTATTGAGTAATAGTTACCGAATTTTGTTACCCATAATCGATTTCTGAACAAATTTTTGAAACGTTCGTTAATTTCCAATATATGTCAATTATCCTATTTGAGAAGATTAAATTTTAAAAATCTAAACCTACATAGATTTTTGAAAAGTGTTCATGCTAGTGATCGCAGATATAATAATTTCAAAGTTAAATTGTTATATTTTTTTTTAATATTTAGCTCTGCCCGTGAAGCAGGTATGTTTGCATTTCACGGCTCACGATGAGGTAAATTCATCTTATTCGCTGGGGTATTTAACAAACATTCAATGATTTAGCAATTTCTTTAACATTATTTTAGTAAACGATGATAGCAGGGACCTCATGACAGGTTAATTTGTTGTCAACCTGGATTTTCTGCTTGCAATTTTTATGATGTTTAAAAGTTAGAGAACACACGGCATCAAATGAAAAAGCTGAAAAAAATTACATATCCGCCCTCTGTTAATGACACATTGATCACAATTAATTAAGCACTGTAAATAAAGTTTAGTCAAATTGCCACTAACACAACTATTGTGTAAAATTTACCCTGACAAAGGTAAAATTTACTCAAGGTTGAGCAAAAATCTTTCAAAGTTGGATAAATTCTAACTTTTATTTGGTAACTTTTGCACAATAGTTGTGTTAGTGGCAATTTTACTTAAAATCGAGTAAATTTTAATCAAATTTATTTAGAGTGAGCTATTACGGGTCACGAGTTTATGAAACTAACTGCACAAATGCTCAAGCTGCATGATGAAATTTTTTACTTTGTGAAATGGACGCTATATTGGGCACCTGTTTTCTTGTTTTCTTTGTTTTCTTGCCCCATCCCACCTAGGAAATTTCAATGGGTTTATATCATGGGAAAAATATGGCAGTGATAAATATAAGATTTGAAAATTCCAGATTTGTTGCCCTCAATTGTCCGGTCGGAGGTGTTACTAGGCTGAGTTTATTGTATTCATTAAGATTCCATAAAAAATAATAAATCTTACATTATACAATTTCCGTTTTAACAAAGATAACTATTAATACTGCAATTAAGATGGTTTTGAAATTTGGCTTTTTGGAACTTTTTTTAAGGTAATTCGTAAATCATGTTAAAAAACTTCAGCGAAAAGAAATACATAAATCGCATTTATTTGCAAACCTTTTACTAGTAAAATCGTATCTAACGTTATAAATGGTCAGAAGATTTT